CAGCACCAAAGGGAATCTATGGAAGTAGAATGTGCAATTTTAAATCACCACAAGATGGAGACACTTTACACATTTCCCTAGTGAGAAAATTCTCACATCAAATTGCGAAGGCTTCTAGCAATTCCTGGACTATTTTCTCAAGGACGCTCCACAGCATTGTTTGGTGATGAGTTACAGAAATAAACAGCATTTCTTTATGTGGACACACAAGATTAGGGAGCATGTTGGGGCTGGTCCTTGTCTTTTTTGGCACTGATGACCTGGCAGATTCTGAGGCCCAGCGGTTGACTAGGATTATCAGACATTTCGCTCAGGCAGTGCTTTGTATAATCCTGAGGGTAGATCTTTTCATACCTGTGGCAATATCTGTTATTTATTGAGCACTTAGCATAGTGATTGGCACTTTGTAGTCTTACATTCATCAATTTGTTACATCTTCACAACACAGGAAGTTTAGTGATAGAAATATCTCAGTTCTGTACACATCTTGTATCCCAGCTATAACCTTGGCCTGTTTTCATGTTAGTCTTCCAAACTAATATTGCATTGAAGGGTACACTGTATGGCATGACCCTGCAGATGGCTAACTTTAATAACAATCCTTAGCACCCAAAGGCAAGCCTAACTTATAACAGTTGATGGCACACACACACTTGCTGATTTTTTTTTCCTCAAAGAATATATTTTGGTTTTTATTTTCCAGGAGCCAAAAGAGGTAAAGTCTCTACCACCCTTAGGTTTTATTTATTTTTTATTTTTTTATTCTTTTTGGTTTTTTGAGACAGGGTCTCACTATGTAGTTCAGACTGCTCTGGAACTCACTGTGTAGCCCAGGCTGGTTTTGAACTCACAGCGATCCTCCTGCCTCAGCCTCCCAAATGCTGGGATTGCAGGCATGCGCCACCACGCCCAGCTTACCCTTAGGTTTTAAAAGGTTTTCTTCAGAACAGTATATTTTTGTTTGTTTTTGGTGGCACTGAGAATTGAACACAGGGCTTCAGAAATTTACTTATTTTAAATTTACTTATTTATTTTTGTGACAGGGTCTCACTATGCAATTCAGGTTGGCCTTGAATTTATTATGTAGCCTAGGCTGGTCTTCAACTCAGAGCAACTGTCCTGCCTCAGCCTTCTGAGGGCTGGGATTACAGGCATGCACCACCACACGCAGCTTGAAGCCCATTCTTCATGGCAGAGTAGTATTCCATTGTATAAAAAACCACATCTTCTTTATCTACTCATTGATTGATAGGCATTTGGGCTGTTTCTGAGATTTAGTTGTTACAAACTGTGCTAGGTAAACTTGGGTGCACATATATCACTGTGGTATGATACATAGGTACCTGTACCACTGAGCTAAATCCCGGGCCTTGTATTATGCTAGTTTTTTCACTGTAGCCTTATAGGATAGTTTAAAGTCAGGGATTGTGATACCCTCTGCCTTGCTTTTGTTGCCCAGAATTGCCTATGCTATTCTAGATCTCTTCTGGTTCCAAATGACTTTTAGGGTTATTTTTTCTAATTCTGTTGGGATTTTTATTAGGATTGCATTAAATCTGTACAATTTTGGAAATATGGCCATTTTCACTATATTGCTTCTTCCTATCCAAGAACAAGGGATATCTTTCCATTTTCTGCTGTCTTCAATCTTTTTTAGAGTACTGTAGTTTTCAATGTAGAGAGCTTTTACTTCTTTACTTAGACTGATTCCTACGTATTTCAATTTTTGTGTTTGCATTTATTTTGATCCTTGATATATTTTTATAATTAGCTTACATGCTGTGTATTTGTTGTGCTGTTTTTATTTCTTTGCCCTTTTCTTTCTCTTGGAGGCTCTATCAACCTAGGATCACTCTAAATTTAAATTTCCATTTGAGGTTTTTAGAACATACAGGTAGTATGAGAGTTTAAGTGCTAGGTATGAGCCTGCCTTGTGGATATGGCTTCTCAGAGACCTTTCCTCTAGTTTCTGCTAGGGTCAAAAGTGGTAATAGTCCCCTTGTGTGTGGCAAGTTTCTTTCTTAATGTTTCTTATAGAGCAAGAGGAGCTTGGTGTCCTGGATTTGGGAGGGCTGGATGTACACTTCAGAGCATTCTGCAGTGACTGTTGAGTTGAGAGTCACTGACGTAGCAGATGCTAGGGGTTCCCTGCCCAGATCCTCTTGCTGGCGTAATCTGCGCCCAGTGTCTGTGAGTATACAGGTCACAGGGATACCAGGTGTTGCTCTTGATCGTCACCAAAAGTATGTAGCTGCGTTATATATGATCCTGTGTAGTATGGAGCTCTGTGGAAATTGAGCTCTTAGTTATTAGACGTGAAAGGGTCAAGCCAGGCATGGTAGCACATGCCTGTAATCCCAGCACTCTGGTAGGCCGACACGGGAAGTTCAAACTCAGCTTGGGCAATTACGAACTCAGTGAGATCCTTTCTCAAAATAAAAAAAGGGCTGAGAATGTAGCTCAGTGTGAAGATCCTGGGTTCAAACCCCAGTACTAGGAAAAAAGTGAGAGTCAACCTATATAATCTCCAGCAGATGCAGTTTAGTGTTGACTTCATCTCACTCTGGAAAGAGATGGACCGATCAACTAGAGTAATACCAGTAAGACACCAGTCATTTATCTGAATAAATTGTTAAGTAGATGTTCTAGTTCAAATCATTCTTAGGAAGGTTGAGGGAAGGAAAGAAGGGAGGAATGATTCTTTATGTTTGATAGCCCCATAGGCTGATTAGTGAAGTTTCAAAATGGAATGAACTGGAAGCTGAAAGCACGATCCTCTTACTTCTAATAACTAAGAGCTCAGTCTCTGCAAAGAGTTCTGTTGTACATAGAATCACATAAGATGGAGGAACACACTTGAAAAGATAATCAGGGGCAACACCTGGTCTCCCTCTGACTTGCGAACTCACAGAGACGATAAAGACCTTTAGTCCGTTTTCTGACAGCATGTCTACCTGTTAAGCCGCAGCACATGAACGTCTGTTCCCTCTTGCCTGTGCTTCTTCTCATCATACCCTTAGCTCATCAGAAATTTCTTGTTGCCTGAGGGCCTGGCAGCTGCTATCAACTAATCCTCTGATGGATTTTTCTTCTCAAAAACAACAACAACAAATAAAACACTTAGGGGATTTAGCTTAGTGGTTGCCATGCCCACCCCTCAGGTGCAACGTCCTGAGTTTGGTACCCAGTACTGGAAAAAACAAAACAAAACTGAAAAACACTGTAGAGTTTTTCTGCTATCATTTGAAATTTATCTACAAATTCTTTGATAACTCCCTATTAAAGAGGTGTTGCCTAATTGCCTTTACCTTCGAGTGTGAACTAGACTTAGTGACTCAGTTCTATGAGTAAAAAATGATGCTAGTACTTTTGATACTAGATCAGAAAAGACCCTGGCTTCCACCTTGCTGTCCTTGAGTTGCTTGCTCTGGGGGAAACCAGCTGCCTTGTTGTGAGGACATCCAAGCAGCTGTAAAAATTTATTAAATGAAATGGAGTCATTCTTGTCATACCCCACTAAAAATGAGTTGAGGGGCCAGGAGAAAGAAAGGGAAACACTCAATTCATGGATGCCTGATCCAGAGAATCTCACAGAATCACTCCAGTGAAACAGCGTGCTGTATCTTTAAGAGCATTTTTACTTAGCAACTGATGACAGAACTGTTAATTATGACCATCATACCAGCTTTACATAGTAACTGCCGCCATTTGCCACTCAGAGCTCACCAGCTCCTGCAAAGAACTTTCAGATTAAATTGCATAGATTTTTCTGTTCTGATAAAACCCTCAACCCTTTCCTTCACCAAATATATCTTAGGCCACTCTGGCTTGTGTGTCTGTGTGTCCCAGATCGCAATCCTATTCTGTCTTTCTTTCCAAGTAAAATTTCCCTTATTGGAAATTTGTCTCCATGTTTTAGTTTGACACACTCCTATGGAGAAGTCCATAGGGAGGATGACCAAAGTCTGTCAGCCAACTAGGACCTGAAACCTGCCGGTAGACACATGTGAGCCACTGTGGGAATATATCTTTCAGCCCTTGTCATGCCTTCCAATGACTGTAGCCCAGCTGAAAATTTGCCTGCAATATCCAGAACCAGAACTGCATATCTAAGCCACTCCCAAACATTTGACCCACAGAATGTATAATATTAAAATATATATCCATTGTTTTAAACTGTTAGATTTGGGGGCTGATTTGTTATACAGTAATGGATAACAAATACATCCCCTCACATAAAATGATGCTTTGTTAACAGGTGATTTATTTGTATTTGTAGTGAGTACTTGTACTGGTAATTATTAGAATAATCACTAGGAGTTTGATGGTTCTGGAATGTACCTTACTCTGTTCCTACCCCCAGGGGCTGACATCCCCAGTCAGGATGACATTGAAGACCAGGTGTTAGCATAGCAGCTAACCTTGGGCCTTCCAGTGCTGATTGGTTGGTATCTGGCTGGGGGAGAAGATTCCCTTTAGAACACTCAGGAGACATGGAGTGAGGTGGCCCTTTGGTTCTGAAGTCACACTGCTTGCCTGTGTCTGGGAGCGCAGAGTAGGGTATCTCTAAGATACTTGGTGCTCTTGGTGAGTCCTAGACTGTGACTCCCAGCATGTTAAGCCTTTGCCCCTGCTGGCAAAGCCTTTTTAATAGTCTGGCCTCCCTGATTTAGTGCCTACCAGGAGACATTCTTTGTAGAACTATGATGTATCTATCACCAGAGTCAGGTTCTGCATTGTACCCTTTGAAAATTTTTAAAGAAACCATCTTCTGGACCTTTTATACAATTAGCAGATTATAAAATTCCTTTTAGAATTTGGTGCATAAAAATATTTTTCTATTCAGAGAAATCTCTTAAATTTCCTTCAATTAGACCAGAACACAACTGTATTACTCACTTTTTCCTTTGCCTTGCTGCTAAGAGGCTTCATTTCATTGCTGTGTGTGTGTGTGTGTGTGTGTGTGTGTGTGTGTGTGTGTGTGTGTGTGTGTGTGTGTGTGTGTGTGTGTGTGTGTGTGTGTGTGTGTGTGCACGTGCACGCTTGCGTGCGTACATTTAATTGGCACCAGCTTTCCTCAGGATGGGTGCTGGGCTTATCTCCCATCTCCTTACTCACCATGACTGGACTTTGGATCATTTACCTTTATTTTCATTTGTTTCTTGGACCTTTTGCTTAAGCCACTTCACCTCCTTGGGGTAGGGGTCATGGTCAGAAACACAGGCCTTTCTGCATCTTCCTCCAGATAGTAGAGCTGCAGAAACCTGAGTCCTAATATGCGCAGCATGAAAAAAGTCTACAAGGGTGGGCATGGCCTCATCCCTCCTCCTCCTGAAATCTGGAGTCAGGGGAATTCACTGGAGTGAGGTCTAGAGGCGCCCAAACCAAGGTATTGGGAAGGACAGTGCAGGGAAGGCTCCGGTTCTCCTACAGGCAGGGGAAGCCATTATCCTTTTGATTGCCAGCGAGAGCCTAAGACTAAGTAATCACAGCTCCCATGTTGAACAAGAGCTCAGTGGCATTGCACCTGCCTGATGAGCACAAGGTGCTGAGTTCAATTCCTGGTACTGAGGAAACAAACAAACAAGAGAAGAGAATATGCATTGTGTGATTGGAAAGGAGATACCAGTTTAGGAATATGTGAGAGGGTGGGGCCCGAGAATCAGCCCCTGAACTGGAGCTCCTGTGCGTCCAACTGTCAGTGGAGAGGCCTCTGAGCACTCTTTCCAGAGGCTGACCTCCAGGGATGAGTCCGAGACTGGAGTTTGCCAGAATCAGGTTTGACTCCTGGAGGCTGAGATCCACGAAGGTGTGGGGAGGCAGGCAGCAGGGTTCCACTGGCAGAACTGGAAGTCTCAGTGTCCCGTGCCTTTTTGTCCAGCGTCTGGCTTTGGATAGCAGAGTGAGATGTGGGCTCTGGAAAACAAAGGCAAGAATGTGGATGCAAGAGATTTTGTACGTCCTGAACTGGAGCTCCTTAGAGCTGCCCTGTGCTGTATGTTGATTTTAGTCCCGCTTGGTGGTATAAGAGCTGTCAGATTGCTTGGAGGGGTCTGGGGGCACCTGGGCCTGGCATCTGCATAAACAGGTCTGTTGGGGGAATATGTTCTGCTGATTGGAGAGCTGCATTTTGAATACTCTAGCATTCGGCTAGAGCTTGCATCCTAGGCTTTCTAGAGTATGAAATAAGGACAAATGCTCAGCAACCTTCCAGTGTGAATGTTAAGGTCAAACATCATGGAAGGAAGAGGTGGTGCAGCTTTGGGAGTCACCTACGATATCCAGCTCTCACATGCTTGTTTCCTCCCTGACTCTAAATTAAGGACAGTGATTGGCCTGCTCTTCACCAACCCAGCTTTTCTTCTTTTGGGACACACCCATGTCCCACAGGCATGTGGGTATTTCTATGACAGAAAAATGGCATTGGCTGCATGCCACTTCCAGGCTTTGCCCCTTGTGGTAGGTCCCCTGTAGGCAGAGCCCTGGGACGGAAGGAGTCAGGGTTCCCACATCTCCACTTGTGGCCATCAAGCAAAAACACTTAATTTGGACTTCATGTTTAGTGAGAGGCAAACTTTTATTGTGTTTAGACCATTAGCCATTTGGGGCCTGTTGCAGCTGCTAGTATCATTCTAGCTAATACTTTAAAAATAATAAATTAAAATGGGATCGCTAAGAAATTGGAACACTTCTAAATAAAAATTCTCTTATCCCTAAAATATCAGTCATTTCTTGTGCATTTTCTTCAGTTCTCACATCCAAGGCCAACCTTACTGCATACTGACACTGTTTAAAACACAGACAATCCTAGGAAAGTCCCGTTTCCTCAGAGATGGTCTCTTTCAGTCTGACCTTTTCTCATGCTCAAGTCGGAGCCAGTCTGTGGTGGTGGTAATTCAAACCTCTGTGACACTCTTTTCAGAAATTCCTCTCTCTCTCTCTCTCTCTTTTTTTTTTTTTTTTTTTTTGTACTGGGAATCAGATTCAGGGCCTCTTGCTTGCCAGGGAGGCACTGTACCACTGAGCTACTTTCCCGGCCCTAGAAACTTATGTGATCTTTTCTCACCCTTATATTCCAGATATTCTAGTGCTTCTCTTTTTTAAGGGAATACAAACTACTTCTACCAGGGCCAGGGATTTAGCTTAGTGGTGCTGCCACCTGCTTTGTAAATGCAAAGTCCAGAGTTCGATCCCTGGTACAGAAAAAATAAAAAAAAGAAAACAACCTACTTCTGCCAGCTAAGATTCATTGGTTTGTTCTCTGTGTTAGGAATTCTGTTAAGCACTTTCTCTGTACAGTCCCCTCTCACCTTCCTCATCCCATGGGCTTGGTACTGTATTGACTTGGCTCCTGTATTGACTTGCCCAACTTCCTACAGCTATTAATTGTCAGCATTCTGATATCAACTCAAATCAGTCTGATTTCACTTCATACACTTTTTTTGTTTGTTTGTTTTTTGAGACAGGGTCTCACTATGTAGTTGAGACTGATCTGGAACTCACTATATAGCCCAGGCTGGTCTCAAACTCACAGTGATCCTCCTGACTCAGCCTTCTGAGTGCTGGGATTACAGGCATGCGCCACCATGCCCGGCTTCACCTCATACACTCTTGATACCTTTCCAGGTAGCCCTGTAGAAGGCATAGTCATGGAAAAGAATTTACCTGGCTTGGTGATTTGCAGCTGGGTGTCATTTTTGGAGCTTTTAGGTGTGTCCCCTGAAACTTTGTCTGTGTCTTTGTTTTTGACAGATTTGTGACTCTTCTCAACTTCACGGAGCTGCAGGAAAGAAAAAATGAACTGCTGGTTCTGGCCAGGGATGTGGGTATCTGAGGCTCAGAACTCTGATGGTGAGAAATGGAGAGCAGGACTGTGTTTTCAGTTTGTGCTGATTACCTTCAGCCCTCTGTTGTTCCTCACAACTAACTGGAAAGCACAGCCTGAGACCAGGTCTGCACAGCATTCCAAGGAACAGCTCACCCTCCATTCTGATGGTTTTCTTTGTTTGGGCAGAAGCCCAGTAAAGTTAACAGAAGGAAGTACGAGTGGGGAACCAGCAGCAAGTATGAGATTAGTTCCGGAAGAGAGATAGAGGAAGCAGAGAGGACAGGGTTTGGAGAGGGTGTGAGTCTGAACTTAGGGTTTGTGTACGTTAGGAGACAGCAGTCAGCTAGCTATGAGAGTGTCAGCTGGGATGTTGAGGGAGGCTGCCCATATTCCAGAGGGCACAGAGCAATACGTTTTGACAATATTTCTTTTATTTTAAATATTATTAGTATTCTACTACTACTGCTACTACTATTTTGCACTACTAGAGATTGAACCTAGAGCCTTTGCACTGAGCTGCATTCTTGGCACTTTTTATTTTGAGACAGGGTCTCACTAAGTTGCTATGTTTCCCAGGCTGGGCTTGAACTTGTAATCTTTCTGCCTCCGACTCCTAGGGTGCTGGTATTATAGGTGTGCACCACCACGCCTGGCTTAACAATATTTCTTCTAGTATATATAGTATTAGTTTTTTGGAGCAGGGTATTTGGGGTTGAATCTAGAGTCTCATGAATGCCATGCACGTGCTCTCCTGTTATATTTTCAGCTCCTTATAAGTTATAATCTGTATAAATTTTGTGGGTATTAGATTTATTATGTACAAGCATTGGTTGAACCCACTGACTTTCTCTTTAGTCACCTCTCAGAAATTGTCATTATTGTGTTATAAATTGTATTATTGTGTTTTCAGGTCCTCTGATTACCTTCAGCCATCTGTTGTTCCTCAAGTAGTCTTATAACATAAATGCATAGTGTTGAATCTCACAAGGCTACTTCCTATAATATAGGTATTTTTGAGTTTGCTTTAGAAGAACGCCATTGAGATAATAAAATGGGATCACAGAGCAAATTAACAACAAAGCAAAACACAACACAACATCCAAAATCATAACATTTTCTCACCCTCCAGGATGAAACTCTTGACAAACTTACTGCTTGGATTTTCTTCCTCAGCTGGGCATTGGCTCTGGAAAGACTTTTGGAAACTGAGTTCAGGTAGTAGATTGCCAGGCTGCAAGAAAAAAAAGCCTCCTGTGGTTCTGGGATGTTGGAAAATGATAAGAGCTGGGTACCTATTCTGGAGAATCAAAGTTTGGTTCCTGGAACAGGAGTGAAGGCTTTGCCTCTGGGCAGGATGGAGGAGATGTTACCATCCTTGTTCTCTTCCAAACATAGAGAGGGTCCTGGACCTCCCTCCCTGCCTCTCTGTTATTATTGGGTGAAGGCATGGTGTACACATCTTTAGCTCTCAGAGTGCTCAGTAAAAGTTGGCAAAAGGAACCATAAAGATCCAGGCGTGGTGGTGCATGCCTGTAATCCCAGCACTCGGGAGGCTGAGGCAGGAGGATTGCTGTGAGTTTGAGACCAGCCTGAGCTACATAGTGAGTTGCAGGTCAGTCTCAACTACGTAGTGAGACCTTGTCTCAAAAAACAAACAAACAAACAAACAAACAAAAAGGAGCCATAAAGAAATGAGAAGATGGCAGGCTTTCTTGTCTGCAGAAAAGCTGGCGATGTTTTGTGAACATCCATTGTGTAAGCCATAAAGATGAGAAGATGGCAGGCTTTCTTGTCTGCAGGAAAGCTGGCGATGTTTTGTGAACATCCATTGTGTGCCTAGGCTCTATTCTCTGTGCACATACGCCCCTTATCTCGTGGGTTTGGAGGAAGACTCCATGAGGTAAAAAAGATGACTTACGTGTTTACAAACCAATATTCTGGGATTCAGAGGTAAAATAATTTGTCCAATTTCAGCTCACCCTTTAGAACTCCTTGGAGACCCCGTCTGAAGCCAAACAACAATCTCCAAGTCCAGAGAGAAGACAGAGAAGCTAAGTGATCTCCAGGTTTGCCAAGAAACACAACTGTAGAGGTCCTGACAGGCCTCTGCCTAGGTTGCACTGAAATGTCTGGTGCTGGCCTTGTAGTTTTGAGCCCAGTCCCCATTGACTGGCTAGGTAATTAGTGTCCTTTAAGGCTGCAACCTAGGCTTCCCTTATATAGGACCTGTGAGCTGGGGCTATGACCTGGACTGTACTATCTGGGAGAAGGGGACACAAAAGCCATAACGTGCCTGGGTTGGCCCCTCCACCTGTTGCTTGCATATTTTGGGGTCCATTCTTAGTCACTTTCCTCCATGAGTTTCTTTTTTTTTTTTTTCCTCCATGAATTTCAAGTCTAAACTGCTCCATCTTGGGTCTTTTGAACCTTCCCCCTCAGGGCTGGGCCATCTACAGTTAGAAGAGACATCACATTGTCTCTAAAGCGGAATATAGATCTGAGGCTATTGTGTGGGCCTCTCAGAACAATGACTCAGAGGACTGCGGTTGAGGAGAGGAAAGGGGAAAAGGGAAAGCAGGTGACAAGACAAATATTTGTTTCATAGGGCCTCTACTCTGTGCCATTCCTCTCCATTTCTTCTAGTTAACCAATTGATTAGAGTGGATTTAGAGGTCAGAGGATGATTTGTCTTGCTCAAGATCACACATCCAACAAATGGTAGCTAAAATGCTCAAGGGTGGGTGTCTTGTTCCTCTGGTTGTTTCCAGATTTAGCATTTCTCCTCACTGCCTGCGAGAGTCAGGTCTGACATCTAGGTTCCCTGATTTCCTCAGGACGTTGCAAGGCAGCCCAGGTAGTCACTGCCATGTCATCCTCGTCATACCAGCATTAGAAACAGAGGGTATTTGAAATCAAGGATGCAGAGTGACATGTAAATCTTTGCTGTTGTTAATGGCAATCAGGGCAGACCTTAAAAATGAGTGTCACACGGATGGCTGAACGAATGCAGGGATTCTGCATCTGTGTCCTGTGCGGCACTGGAACCCCTCTGAGTCCGTGGCCCCCTCTAGAACGCTCCAGGAGTGGGTGAGCAATGAGAGATGCTATCTGAGGGTGTGGAGTTTGGGTTCCTGTCCGGGGCAGCAGCCCTGGAGGAGAAGCCAGGACGATGACCACAGGCTTAGGGAAGGCTGGCTCCGTTAGATCCATCCTGAGTTGAAGGGGTGGGGGTGGGAGGGGGCTCCGATGAGGGGCAGCAAGGAACATTCCATGAAATCGTCTTTAGAATTTCTAAATAGGCAGAGACAAAGAGACATGACTAAATGACAAGAATGCTCGAAGGGGAGATTTTCAACAGAATCTTTACAGACCATCCAAGGTTAAAGTTCAACCCAAATGTCAGCAAATATGCCATAGTAAGGACCTTTGAAAATTCTCTTCTCCGTGAAAACATTGAGGACGTTGGTAAAAATGATTGGAATCAACTTTTTCAGAACTTGAACATTAATTAAAGGTTTTCAGTGTTTTTTCAAGGAAAACAGCTGACTCTTAGAACAGTGAGCTTTGTAAGATTTTTTAAGTAGCCTTATTTTCCCTCCCCCACTCAGTTCTGTAGTAGGTTTGAAAACTAACAGTCAAAATCATGGTGAAAACCAATAGCTCAGCAGTCACTGGAAGGAGTGGAAGGGATTAAAGCTCTTTCAAATAATTGCTATTATTTTAGTAATCCAATTGTTTCTTGGAAGATACTATTCCCAAAGCTCCCTTTATTTGATCAGATTTGGAGCCACTCCAATGTGAACAGCATTTTCTCTGAGAGTTTGTCAGTAAGAATAGGAGGCAACTTGAATAACATGTCTGTGTGAGGTGTTGAATAACAGCTGGGGAAAATAATACTTGGAATGCCAAACGCTGTCTTTGGGGTACACCCAAGGATTAGTGGAACACGTTTCCAGGTATGTTTTGGATGGTCATGGAGGCCTGGCCTTGGGGTCTGTATCTGGTTCCTTACCCCTTCCTCTCTGGCCACTTGACAAATAATGGAAGACTTCTTAGCACTAGGCATATGAGGAAATCTTAAATCTGGCCATGTGTGGTAGCACGTCTGTAATCCCAGCACTTGGGAGGCTGAGGCAGGAAGATCACTGAGAGTTCAAGGCCAGCCTGGGCTTTATAATGAGTTCAAGGCTGGTCTGAACAACATGGAGAGAACTTGTCTCCAAAAAAAAAAAAAGTGAAATAATTAGTTGATCACTAAATTAATTATGTTTGATTGTTAGCTGTGTTCACTTAGCTTTGTGATCAGCTAATGGCTACACACAACAAAGAATACATAGTTTATAGATGTATCGCAGAAAAGCCATTAAAGAAACCAGTAGCAATAAACATCCATAACTAGGATCCCTGGGAAGGGAACAGAATCTGATTTCTAGAGCTGTCATATATTATTTAAAATGTGCAGTTTTCAACATGAAGCACAAGATGTGCAAAGAAACAAGGAGGTGTGGTCCATACACAGGAACAAATAATCACTAGAAATGCTCTTCGAGGAAGTCTAGATGTTGTGTTTACTGGGGAAAAAATAAATCACTTATGTCAAGGAGCCAGGTATGGTGGCTCACGCCTGTAATCCCAGCACTTGGGAGGCTGAGGCAGGAGGATCGCTGTGAGTTCGATACCAGCCTGGGCTACATAGTGAGTTCTAGGTCAGCCTCAACTACATAGTGAGACCCATCTCCAAAAACAAACAAACAAAAAAAACAAATGAAAGGACAGTAGATGGTGACTCAGATCTACATGATGAGATAAAGAGCAGGGGTAAGAGTAACTATATAGTTTTATATATATAATATATAATGTAATATATTATTTTATATTATATCTTATATATATTTATATATAGTAAATATGAGACAATATCACAGTAGTCCTTGCAAGTCTTTTTCTCCTCTGATTTATCCAGCATTCAATGTATCAAGGTGGAAATAATAGCATAAAGGAGGGGAGGGAGAAAAAATAGTTATACAAGAAAAAGATTTTCATATACTATTAAAAGTTAAGTCAGTACTAAAGTAGTTTGTTATATAATACTAAATGTAGGGCCAGGGATTTGGCTCAGTGGTTCCGACGCCTGCCTTGTAAGTACAAGGACCCAAGTTCTCTCCCCAGTACAAAAAATCAACAAAAAAAACTAAATGTAATTTTCAGGTTAACCACCAAGAAAATAACTAAAGGGCCAGGGATTTAGCTCAGTAGTGTTGCCGCCTGCCTCAAAAGCACAAGTTCAATCCCTGGCACCAAAAGAAAAGAAAACTTAAAAAAAAAAATACAGTAAGAAATGACAAGGGAATGAAAATAGAACACTAGAAAAGTTATTTTGTCACGCCCAAGGACATGACCTATCCTGGCCACACAGCCCTCCTCACCCCAGCCTGGTCAGGATCATACCCAGTGGGAAAGAAACTTTGTCGCCCACAGGAAAAGCCCTTACAGACAAACTTTGTGCCAGTGAGAAAGGCCATCATGTTCCAGCCCTCAGTTCCAAGAAACATCTTTGTACTGCCTGAGAAGCACAGAGTGCCCTATCTTTGACCCCAGACTCCTCCAGGCAACAAATCCTCCAACCAGTGCCTGGCAACCGCCTAGCAACCACCCTCTACTTGCGGGTGCTCTCCCTGCACCCTGCTGATTCTTGGTGTGAGTCAGCCCGCTGGTTTTGGTTTGGGTTAACAAAACAGCTTTGTTTGCTAAGGCAAGCCTGAGTGTTTTCTTTTCTCTCCCCATCTCTGCTACATATTTAACAAGTTGTAGTTGGTGGGCTTGAGTGCAGTTTAGATTTCAGTTATAGCATGTTTATCTATTGGATCTGTGGTCTAGGAATTTATAAGATAAATTGAGAGAAAGAATAATTCAAAAAACAAGTGGAAGAGATACAAAAATGGAGTGAGTTAGGTCAATGATTAGGCTCTGTTAACAACTATTCAGAAATAATTGGCATATTTATGTCGAGTTTCCCCAAGCAAGAATACTGTATTTTTTGATAGTTTCAGTGAATGTTGTGAAAGTTATTGAAAATACTCTCAGGGCTCACCTCCACCCCCCTTTTTCCAGTTTTTTTATTAATACATATTTTATATAATGATTATATTCCTTGTGGGTTGGTACACGCATGTAACAAACCTTAATTTTCTTTTTTTATCCCCTTCTCTCTCTCTCTCTCTCTCTCTCTCTCTCTCTCTCTCTTTTTAGAAATGGTTTTGCTATGAAGTTCAGGCTGGCCTCGAACTCAAACTGATCTTCCTACCTCAGCCTCCAAAGTGCTAGGATTACAGGTGTGCACCATTATCGCCCAGCTCCTTCCCTCCATCTCTTGATTCCCTTCCCATTTGAACAAAATCTATCTCTTTACTTCCTATAATTTATCTTTTATTTTGCTCTTTATTTATAATTTGGATTTCTCATATAAGAGAAACCATGTGGTATTTAAGCTTGTGTGTCTGATTTATTTCACTTCACATTATGATTACATTCATTTTCCTAAAAATGACCCAAGTTTAATTTGTTTTTTGAGGCAGGGTCTCATTGTCTTCCAGGCTAGCCTCGAATTCACTGTGTAACCCAATCTCTCTCTCTCTTTTTAGAAATGGTTTTGCTATGAAGTTCAGGCTGGCCTCGAACTCAAACTGATCTTCCTACCTCAGCCTCCAAAGTGCTAGGATTACAGGTGTGCACCATTATCGCCCAGCTCCTTCCCTCCATCTCTTGATTCCCTTCCCATTTGAACAAAATCTATCTCTTTACTTCCTATAATTTATCTTTTATTTTGCTCTTTATTTATAATTTGGATTTCTCATATAAGAGAAACCATGTGGTATTTAAGCTTGTGTGTCTGATTTATTTCACTTCACATTATGATTACATTCATTTTCCTAAAAATGACCCAAGTTTAATTTGTTTTTTGAGGCAGGGTCTCATTGTCTTCCAGGCTAGCCTCGAATTCACTGTGTAACCCAGGCTGGCCTCAAACTTGCAGCAGTTCTCAGGTTTATCCTTTTTTATGGCAGAGTAGTACTCCATGGTGTATAAACGCCACATTTTCTTTGTCCATTCATCTGCTGATGGACCTGAAGTCTGCTTCCAAGATTTAGCTGTTATGAGTTGTGCTCCTATAAACATGTATTGTTGTAATATGATGTCTTTAACTTTTCCAGGAAGCTACATTCTTTGGATCCTACTTTTCAGTGTGTTCCTTGAAAGACCTGCAAAGGCCAGTACTTTTACCTTGGTGCCAGAGGCTTCCCCTTCCCCTTCCAACCCCACTGACACCCCTGAAGCCATTCTACTCAAAACTGCCAGGGAGTTAAACAACTTCAGTGACTGATAGGATCTGATCTACAAAATGGGACCCTTCAGTCTCAGGGAGAAGTAAGTCTGAGGCACATTATCTGCCCAAGTTCCCTAGCAGGACTGAAGTCGAGTCCTCCTCAGAGGTGATCACACATGTCTCTTTCCCGTCCCTGTCTTGATTCCCTACTCCCTTGCTGATAAACTGCTTGCATTGGAATCTTTATCTCAGGGGCTGCTTCTGGGAACCTAGACTAAGAGGGTGGAAAAGGAGGACTGGCCCAGGAAGTCGGCTGAAAGGGTTAGGTTTCCACGAGGTGGTGCCAGGGCCGTGGCTAACTTACAACATCAGTAGGATGGCTGGGATGATCAGTCCTGGATTGGCAAGGAAAGCAAAGATCTTGCCCAGGAAGGTCGGGAAATCATTTTCAATGGTCTCTTGGAGGATGTCATACATTCTGTTTTTCCCACTGGAAAGAGGAGAGGACACGTTTTAGCATACTGCAAAGTTCATATGGTGCACACAGGTGGGGCTGTGCCCCATACCTCCAGAGCTGCCACTTGGCGCTGCTTTCCTGGAAGAACTAGAGCTCTGCTCCAAATGGACTGTAAGTAAAAAAAATGACCCTTGAGTGGCTGCCACTTTGGCTGGGGCATATAGCTGCATCCTTACACTGGCTCACCAGCTTTCTTCCCTCTCAAACTACTTGGTCTTCTGTGTTTGACACCTTCCTCAGCAAGAAAAAACAAACAAACAAAACACCCTGGGTTTTCTAATACCTTCTAAAATACGGTTTCCTGGGATGTAGTTACCAGACACAAGGGCTCCTCCCCTAGGCTCCCTGGCAGGAGACAGCTCTCCAGGGGTGGATGCAGAAGGTGTGTCACAGTGCCTCAGGCGTTCCCACAGTTAGTCTCCACAGCATGATTCTAGGGGATTGGATCGCCCAGGGTAAATTTCTACTGGCCACAAAAGTAATTTCAATTTTCTTCAAATTCCTAAGAATCCTTATAGAGAATGACTCCACTAATGCCTGCCCAGAGATGCTTGGATGCTGGTAGCTCTTAGTTGGCAATTTTGGTACCAAGAAAATGGATTTAGGGGTTTGAAGTTCCAGTTTAAAATCCTTGCTCTTCCTTTCATTAGCTTTGGGACACTACAAACAATTTACTTGTCTCTTTATTCCTGTTCCATACCCTGGCTCTCCCCACTGGAGCTGTAACGTCAGATGTGGCTATTAAAAGAACACAAGTTAATTAAAATGAAATGAAATTAAAAATTCTATTTCTCAATCAGATATTTCAAGTACCCAAGAGTACTGTGACTGTTAGCTACTATAATAGAACAGATGTAGAATATTTTTATTCATAATATTTTTATTACTTAAAATTCTACTGGTCATGCTAAGGTTTGATATCTTGGCAAGATATTAAAAATTTCTCTTCCCTAGTTTCCTCATCTATCTATTGATCTAATATGGTATAATACTAATATAGTATAAATGGTATAATAGCATTTTTCTCAGAAGATTGTTTAGACATGAATTCACGTAAAATATTGAGTAGGATACTGAGTTATAAGTGTCCCAAAATGTTGCAGCCAGCAGCCTCATTTTTCTCTTGTGTAAAATATAGATCAGAGTTGACAGACACTGACCCATAGGTTCATCTTTAAACCTATGTATTTATTTTATCTATTGATGGTACCGGGGATTGAACTCGGGCCCTGTGTCTGCAAGTCAGGCAGCAGAACCACTGGGCCAAATGCCCAGCCCTTGTCACCTACTTTTATATGACCTGTGAGCTAAGAAAGATTTTTGTGTTTTCAAGTGGTTGGAAAAAAAAATCAACGTGATATATTTTGTGACATGTGAAAATTGAAGAAAGGGATTCACATTTCAGTGTCTATGAATAAAGTTTTATTGGAACACAGCCATTCTCATTGATTGACATTTTTGTCTATGGTTAATTTTGTACCATAACGGCAGAAGTGAGTGGTGGCCATCTTCTTGTTCAGCACTGCTGTGCATGATATTATAGATCATAAGGATTTGGTTATGACGTGATAACATTTCAGGTGTAGTGCATATCACCATGTCATGACGTTTCACTTAATCTTTATTATGAGTTCATACCCTTCATATGAAAATAAGAAAAGTAGATTCCAGATACTATGCTTTAAGTCAAAGTTGAGTATGGATTATTTTGTCATTGAAGTAAATATTACATTAGTTCCCAGTAGCTGTTGTAACAAAATTATCACATTGGTAGTTTAAAAAGATGTCAAAACTCTGAAATAGTTTCACTGAGCTAAAACCAAATTCTGACAGGGCTGCTGCCGCTCTGGGGGAAGCTATAGACGAATATTGGTTTCTTTGCTTTTTTTCAGCTTCTAGAGCTGCCTTCCTTAAATTGGCTCATGTCTCCATCTTTCAATCTTCAAATCTGTTTCCACCATCACATCACCTACTCTTGTGTCGTCAAATCTCCCTTTGCCTTCCTCCTGTAAAGACACTTGTGATTGGGGGTCCCTCTAGATAATCCATGATGATTGTCTCACCTCAAGATCTTTAAATTTAGTCATATTGGCAAAGGCCCTTTTGCTACATAAAGTCTCATTTGCAGTTTCCAGGGATTAGGACCTGGATATTTTGGGGAACTTTATTCAGCTTCCTATAGTGTGTTCTTTGCCTCCCTGCAATTCACACCCATCCTGTATGCAAAATATATTCATTGACCCTACATTTTTATCCCCCAAAGTCTCAACTCATTACATCAACTCAGAGTTCAAAACATGTAAATATCAAAGCTCAAACATTCCACATCTCATCACTGAAGCCATGCAAAGCAGGTATGGGTGAGACTCTACGTGTGATTCCTTTTGAGACAACTTTTTTTTTCTAGCTGTAGGCCTTGGAAAGTAGAAAACAAATTATTTACTCCAAAAAAAAAAAAAAAACACAACAACAACAAAAATAAACGATGAGGCAGGCACAGAGTAACTATTAAAGAAATTCCAATTCCAAAAGGGAGAAAATGAAAGGATGGAATCATCAGTCCTGAACAGTCTCAAAATTCAACCAACCAAACTCCATGTATTTGGCATTTAAGGCCTAAGAATAATCCTCTGGGCTCTTGGATCCAACCTCTGTGCCTGTAGATCTGCTCTTAAGGATTGTAGTTCTGCTTGTGGAATTAAAATTCCCTTTCCTCGAAGGTGTTCCAGTGGTGTAGAGTTTTTTGGTCTGTTTCCTGCCTGTAAATTCTGGGTGGCCAACAGCTCTCCTATTCTGTTTTTACTTTGTCCCTTTCAGTCCAAGCTGGCAGTGTTTCTCCTGATAACATTCTCAGAAACCTTGTGGGTTCTCCATGTGTATCATGAGAATTCACTCTATTATACAAAAGAATCCTACACTATCTTTACTGGATAATCTTATCTCTGTTCCTAGCTCCCATTGAGGTGGTTGAGGGGATCTGAGTCACATGCTTATTCTCATTAAAGAGTCCTCCATGTGAATGAATATTCATAGTTTTAATCCCTTGAAAGCACTAGTGAAACATTGGCTGGCCACACTCTTCATTCATTTTAGAGCACTGTTTCCTAACAATGAATCTAATCTTAGTTTCTTTTGCAATATAGGGAGGCTGAGAATTTCCAAAATTATTGTCTTGGTTCTAGTTCTTGTTATTTTTTTTTAAGACAAGATCTTGCTATGTAGAGTCAGGCTGGCCTTGAACTTACTGTGTAGCCCACGCTGGCATTCAAACTTATGTCAACCTCCTGCTTCAGCCTCCTGAATGCTGGGATTATATGTTTGTGCCACTATACCCTGCAAATCCTGGTTCTTTTTCTGGTTACTAGTCCCTTCCTTAATTTGGCTCTTTTCTCTCATAGTTTACAATAAGCAGCCAGCAAAAAATAAAATAAATAAAATCAATAAATAAAAGAATGCATATTCAACAATTTGCTTCAAAATCTCAGCTAAGTATCCGAGTTCAAACTTGTAAGTTCAGCTTTCTATATACTTGTAGGACATGGTTCAGCTAAGCTTTCTTTTATGATAAAGCAAGGATTCCCTTTCCTGTAGTTTCCAAAATCATGCTTCTCATTTACCAGTGGTGCATTAATTGTGTTTGATTGCAGAAGCTAAAGAAACATGACTAGAGAAAGGAAGTTTAAAATGTTTTAGCTGAGAGCATTGCACTATATAGATCACTATTGCCAGTCCTAACTTACCTCCTTCCACAGAAAAAAACGGCCCCACATATAACAAAAAACACATTTTGTTCACATCCTTCCACAAATGAGACAGGGCCTCACAAAAACAAACCCCCTTCCTCCAAAAAAACAGGCATCAAGAGGGTGTGATAAATACAAGGCCTGGCCCCCGCCAAAAGAGAAGAAGAAAAGTCTTCCTTCCACCCATTCACCAAAAACCATCAAACATAATGTCCTACAGACCTTAGCCATTCTCCTGGCTCTGGTTATAAACCAGCTCCTTTTACACCCCCCCTCCCTTATCTCTACCACTATAAATAAACATGCTAAAGTTGCCTGGTGGTCTTTTTCTCCCATGAAAAAAAAAGCCCCACCTGGCCCCACCTTCTTCTTTTCTTTCTCTGTCTTTGTATCTCCCACCATCATTTCTCACTCCATAAGCCCTTCGGCCCCATAGGCTGCTGTAACAGTTTTAATGTCGTTATAAGGATACTTGGTGCAATGTTTGTCACAAACCCAGCATTCAGAACACCTTCACTAGCCCCATATTACCACAATTGTCCCTCTTTACTGATAAGTATGTACCATCTTGAGTACGTTTCTTCCTCTTCTCCTGGCCAACTGAGAGGACCACTGGTAGAATTTCTACATTCAGAGAAAGAAGGTAAAGTAAACCAAAATTATCCCCTATCTCTCTTAGAAGGAAAAAAAAAAAAAAAAAAAAAAAAAAAGATTTGGGTCACAGACACAAACTGAAGTGAGTCTGAAGATATATCAGCAGCTACAATCTGCAGCTTCTCCCCTGTGAGTTACAGAATGACTACAATCTATAGTCCTAGGAAAAATGGCCAAGTTAGTGCACACGCAGGGAAGATGGCCTCATTTGTGTTCATCACCTATCACCTGATGTGGAGTTTGTGAATGGAAAAAATTTTGCTCAATGTTCGCAAACTGAAGTGTTCACGAACCAAGGCATGACTGTAGACATGTAGCTCAGTGCTACCACTCATATAAAAGTGGTCTGCATGCCTGCATGAACTGACTGTTATAAAGGACTTCTCTAAACTGGCTTCAGGTGTCTAGTTAGTTCTTGGTTCACTGATTAGAGAAAAATTTGAGGCCATGATCAAACACCTAACATACTGTGACTTAGACCAGACATGGTGGGTCTGCACACTTGAAGACACACACCTGAATACCTGAATTTCCTTTCTGGAGGAAACAGGTAAAATGCTGGTCCATATGGACTCCATGTCCACAGGTTTGTTTTCTGTGGGATGGTACATTTAGTTTTAAAACTCAAATTAGTGGCCATAGTAAAAATATCAGAGTATTTTCAAATAAGTGCTCTGATTTCTGTAATGAGAAGGTCTGGTAATAGTGGACCCATGCTCCTGATGGAAACAACTGTCTGCAGCACTAAGTGCCCCAGCTGGGTAGAACTCAGGCTTAACAAAACTCCCAGATTAAAAACAAAAAACAAACAAACAAAAAAACCCCTCCCAGATATGCCTTACTATGGCCCTGTACACTCCTCTAAGTGCTTTACAAACAACAACACACCAAGTCCTCAAAACAACCTTATGAGACAAACACCACCAGCATTCTCATCTTCTAGACAATGAACCTGCAGTGCACCAGGGGGGTAAGTAACAGAGCTGGCTATAGAGTCTGTTCTCTAAATTAACGGCTTGGCCCGTGACTGCCTCACAAGTGCAAGGTCCTGAGTTTCATCCCCTGCAGCAGAAAAAAAATTATGGGCGTGACATTGTTTTTTCTGTAAAGGGCTACATAATAAAAACAGGCTTTGTGGGTTCAATGGTCCTTTGCTTAACTACTCAGTTCTACTGTTATAATGAAAGAGCAGCCATAAATTACATGTAAGTAAACAGATGTGGCTATGTTCTAGTGAAACTTTATTTACAAAAATACATGGTGGTCTGATTTGGTCCATAGGCTATAGCTTACCAAGCCCTGTTTCTAACCATATACTATGCAGTGTGGCCTACCTCATTCACGCATGTTGCCCACCTGGACCTGTAGGCATTTGATTTCCCCCAAACCTTAAGTCCTCCCTACCTCATATGGCTGAATTTCTCTCAGGTAATGGCTCTAGTTTTATGAGCAGTGACCACAAACTAAATGTTCTTTTCCAGACACTGGGCATAAAGCAGTGAGAAAAGAAGTAAAAGCCACGTCCTCATGGAGCTTATGTCTCAGAGGAGGAGAAGACAATATACAAAGTAAACAAGCAAAAGATGTCATGTTAGGGGAGTGAGGAGATATTATGATAAGCGGAAACAGGCGTGTGTGTGTGTGTGTGTCTGTTGTGTGTGTGTGCGCGCGCGCGTGAGACAGTTCAAGGAGCTCTGGGAAAACCCTCACTGAGACAGTGGGTCACCTTTGAGTAGAGACCTGGAGAAGGTGAAGAACAGCTGAGGATATATTTGAGAGAAAAATGTTCGAGGTGTTGGTGGGTTTTGATCAGATGAATGACAGGGAGGAGGTGGGCAGCTGGCAGATGTGCTTCCCATCAGTTGCATTTCAGGTTCTTCCCTCTGATCTAGGTGTAGGGTGTCAGGGCCGTTTAAGGTGGCAGATGAGGCAAAAGAGTGCAGAGCAATGCCCTGGACACAGGTGGAAGCATGAGGAAAAGAGTTCTGGCAGCTGCACCCAGGAACAAGCCAAGTGAGGCTTCTCCCATGTGGTTCTCCCTTCAGCCTGGCATCTCCAACCTTGTACCATTTACACGCCTCCACTCTCACGTATACCTCCTTCCTCCTCTGGGAGCCCGTTTGATCAGATCATGCTGTGCTGCAGCTCCTGTGAATTCATCTTCTGGGCTTCACCAACCACAGGGCTTTATCTAGGCAAGTGCCTTATAAGCTGAGAAGCACCCTTCCCCATTGGGCGCCTTTTCACATTGGTAGGCAGGGCTGGCACTAGAGTAAGGTTTGGAAGCCTTGGGGTACACATTTTGAGGAAACACTTGCTCTGAGGGCTGTACACATGCAGTTCAGGGTCCCACTCACCCGCCTCACCCACTCCTGGGCGGGGAGAGATAATTGGTGAGGTTGGGAGCACTGGCTTACACGTGTGGTCTTATTGCATGACTGCTGAGGAGAGTGCAGTGTGAAAAGTCAAGTGAAAAGACAGCAGAGAAGAGGGACAAGTTCCATACTGCCCTAATTCCAGAACACTTTTTTGTAGAATTTGAGAGGGCTTTGTTTTCAGAGGGTCTCTCACTTGGAAAGATGCCCATTATTTCTCAGTCTACCTTCTTACTATTGACCTTTTAATACACTATCCAGATTCTGAAACTACGTTAACTTATATCCTGAACCCACAGTGCTGGCCGGTGCTCTACAGAGGCTGGGGGCCCAGGCAAGGGTCTCAGCTGCAACTAGGGTCACAACTATGGGACTGGTGAGTTTATAATCATTTCATCTTCAGAATATTCCCTGCCACATATTCTATGGTAAGGTAATCCCAGGTGGTAGATTACCCAGTGTTGAAAGGTTACAACTGCACTCTCCAGTATATAGACCCTAGTAGCCTCATGTGGCTATTTAAATTTGAATTAATTATAATTAAAATTAGAAATTCAGCTTCCCAGTTCCTCATTCCAAGCCCTCAGCAACCGTGGATAGCTGATGGCTACTATACTGAGCAGCACAAACAGAACATTCTACTCTGGCAGAAAACTTTATCGAAAAGTGCTGATGATTTGCCCAAAGCTTTCTGGCCTTTTACAAGCTGACATAAAACCAGAACTCAAATTCTGAGCCAGGCCTTGTGAGCAGACTGCTTCGGGAGGGAAGCCGCTATCCTACAACGATGACTCTGCACCTGAATGGGCCGCAGTCAAAGGAGGGCGGAAGGGACATGATGGTGTAGGCCACTGGTAGGAGGCTGAGGAAGAGCACCAGCAGCAGCAGGCCCATGTAGAAGTTGTCGGATCTGGAGGCTTTGAAAACTCGTTCATGGGGGACATTGCTGCTCATCACCGCCCAGCACTGGAAGTACATGGAGGTCAGCAGGCGCAGGACATTAATGCCCACCAGTCCTGGAGCATAGAAGGAGCCCATCCTAGAACAGCAGAAACCGGATACTCAGTTGGCCTGGTAACAGGAAAGATGAGGGAAGGAGGACAGAAGGAAATGGGATGGAAGGGTTAGGGGGATGAGGTGAAACTGCTTTCCCTGCAGATCTCAAGGGGAGGGGCCTCCCATTTAGTGAGGACTTTTGTCACTGAGACATAACCTTTAGGAGAGGTAGGGAATCATAGCCTTAGGAGAGGGAGACACTCAGCATTACAAATTTGGGCTCAGAGTTTTACCACTTCTGTCCTACTAGGTGTCAGCAAATCCCATATTCTGGTGACCTATGTCTCTGTGGTCTCCATTGTTTTTGGATGGAGACCTGCAGGAGCCCTTGGCATTCTGAAAATCTTTGGCTAAGGTTTTTTTGTTTGTTTGTTTGTTTGTTTTAGGCAGGGTCTCAACCAGGTAGTTGAGACTGACCTGGAACTCAGTTAAGTAGCCCAGACTGGTTTTAAACTCACAGTGATCCTCCTGCCTCAGCCTCCTGAGTGCTGGGATTACTGGTGTGCGCCACCATGCCCTGCCGAAATGAATGAAAACCTATAGAAGCCTTTACTTAGATTTTTTTTTTTTGTACCAGGGATTGAACTCGGGACCTAGTGCTTGCAAGGCAGGTGGCAGAACCACTGAGCTAAATCCCTGCCTAAATTTTGTAGTCTCCTCCTACTCTCTTTCCAGAGCAGAACATTCTTTAGTTCATTTCCTTTCTTCCTTCCATCTCTTCTCCCTCTCCTCTCTTTTTCTCTTCCTTCCTCCTCCTTTTTTCTCCTCCTGCCTTCCTTCTGTCCTTTCATTTTTCTTTCTTTCTTCTCCTCTCCTTTCTCTACCTTTCCTTCACTTTACTCCCTTTCTCTCCCTCCTTCCCCACTCTCTCCTACTCCACATTCATGGTAGCACATGCAAGAGCCAGAAACTGTCCTGCCTGTCATCTAGTCCTGCCCTCTATTTTTCACGTTAAAGATAGGAGCACAATTGGGGCAAGGCCTGAGATTCTAATTTTTTTGACTCCTAAATTAGGTAATCTTCAGATGAAATGGATAACTCACCAGATCATGCCTTGGTTGAAGATCAAACCCAGCACATTTCCACTAATATCAAACTCAGCATATGAGGGCTACAGAAAAAGAGAGAGGGAACATATTAGGTAATATCAGCCAGGCCCTATTACGTGCCAGGTGGCCAAACTAGGGCCACTCCCTCCTAAAGACCCTGCTGTGGTGGCCAGAGAAGAATTTTAGGTTCAGGATTCTGATTCTTAAAATGTTTTAACTTTTAATGAAAAGTTTTGAAATTTTCAAAGTTGAAACTTTTTCAGTTATAAAAACAATTGGGGGCTGGATAGGATAGCACTTGCCTGTAATACCAGCACTAGGGAGGCTGATTCAGGAAGACTGACTCAAATTCAAGACCCTCCTGGGCTACATAGTGAGTTCATGGCAAGCCTGAACTACAAAATAAGACTGTCTAAAAAAAATTGTGATATTTTCATCGTTTAGGGCCTGCAAGTGACTCTGTGTTCTCAGGAGGAGCTTACCCCTAAGAGAAGATTTTATCATTGCTTAAATTCCTTGCAATTATCATCAGGGAATAAATCTAATAAATAATAAAACAACTGAGGCATCAAATGAAAAGATAGCTTAAAAAAAAAAGAAAGGAAAGAGCTGTCTTAGATCTTCAACCTGACTGATTCTTGAAATTTTGGTAGCTCATCACGTTTTTGGAAGAACATAAGTAACATTTGCTGGCACTGAGGGGCTGGGGGTCCTCATGAAGAATGCTTACGTCAGCTTCACAGCTTCCTTCTGGAAATGGAGAGTCAGGGACACAATGAGAGGATGAGAAATGACAAGGTAGGAAGGAGACAGAACGGTCAGGAGAGTATGGATTAAAGGAGCAAAGATGTGCAATCCGAATTCCCAAGGTTAGATTTTAGGAGATTGAATTTTAATATTAAAAAAACATAGCTACTAAGTTTGTGTCTGGCTTAGGAAAATCTTCCTTACCCTCAAGACTGCAAGTTGCTATGTGCTTTTAGAAACTCATTTTTTTAATGTTTAAAATTTTGATTCATCTATAATTTATGTAGGTGAGATGAGTGAGGAATGTAGTCTCCCCACAACTAGCTCATTTTTATGTAATCCTTCTTTCTCCCACAGATTTTTTTTTTGTGCTGGAGATTGAACTCAGGCCCTTGAGCTTGGTGATGAAACCACTGAGCCAAATCCCCAGCCCCTTACTGATCTTAAAAGTTTCTTTTATTATATAAATGGGCTCCCTTTGTCCTATGTGAATTGTATTATTTTTGGACTTTCTATTCTGTTCCACTGATATGTTTTTCAGTTTTAGTTATTATAACTTCATAATATGTTTTAATATAATTGGAGGCTTAATTTCTTTTATTCTTTTTCTAAAAGATTTTCCTAGATATTCCCATGTGCTTGTTTTTCCTGTCAATCCTGGGGATTGAACCCATGTCATGCAAGCTAGGAAAGCACTCTACCATTGAGCTATACCCTAACCCTTTTTGCCATTTTATTTTGAGACAGAGTCTTGCTAAATTACCTGAGCACCTTCAAATCTTCAATGCTCCTGTCTTAGCCTCTCCAGAGCAGCTGGGATTATAAGTATGTACCACTGCACCTGGCCTTTATTTTATTTTATTTATTTTATTTTTTGAGACAGAGTCTCACTATGTAGTGGAGACTGACCTGGAACTCACTATGTAACACAGGCTGGTCTCAAACTCACAGCAATCCTCCTGCCTCAGCCTCCTGAGTGCTGGGATTACAGGCATGAGCAACCATGCCAAGCTCCAAAATGTTTATTTTTTAAATAAACTCTAATAGAACTTTAGAATTTTTTTGAACTTAAAAATCCATAATCCATATGAGGACATCTCAGCAATTGTATCTTCCTATCAAAGATATCATTCTCATTCTCCAACCAGATTAAGAAATTTTCCTTGCTGCTGAGGAATTTACCAAGGTTGTTTAAAACTAGTGATGGACTAAAAGAAACAATGTCAGAAATCTGTACTTGCACCCTTACCTGGGACTGGCACCCTGCTGCAGACCAGAATGAGGGCTACATAGGTCACCAAGGTATGAAAACTTTCACCAGGAGCTCAGTTAAAGGAGTGGTCCCCTCCCCGACACCAGGATCAGTGCGTGGGTCAGTGGAGGGGTATGGAAGAGACACACACAGGATAAAGTAGTGAGCCAGAGGTTCTGCCAGATGACAGAAGGTCACTGCAGAGAGGAAATGACATATTTTTAGGATGAGCAGTTTACCAGGGAGGTAGGAAGAAAGAGTAAGAGTCAAAAGAAATTTCTTAAAGCATAACCTGGAAGACAGGACAATGGTTATTGCATTCTTGATGTGTTTCAGGACTTTCTAAGGCATTCATATCCATCCTAGACTTCACCCTTCCTAATGAGAGTTGATGCTACTCAGACATTTCTCCACCAGTCATCTGCTCAGCACTGAAGTGTGTGGTCCACATTTTCCCAAAGCTGAATGCCTCCACTTCCCACATAAGGTCACACTGGGAAAACACAGAGTTAGCTCTACCAGAGGCAGTGAGGATCCTTAAAGGAAATAAAGATTAAATATCACACCACTTCACAGAGCAGCAAGAAACGAAATGCTCAAGAGTGCATCTGACTATATCAGGGAAGATGGCTAAGCCACCCTTCTACAGGATGTCTATGAAACAGTAACCTACAAATCCAGCCTCCAGATCCCAGCACCAGCAGTAGTTCATGAACCGGACAAAACAAGCCCGTAGGAAGTCCCCTAGCAGGATGGTGATGTATGTTACCAGCATGTCAGACACAGTCAGTCTCATGAATTCCTGCAAGGAGGAAGATGAAAAGGAGGGAGAAGTCAGAGTTTGACACTGTTCATTTCGCCACACAAACTCTCCCCCACTCACTCTCATCATCTCTATGATCTGATCCTTCCTGGCACAATGGTGGTACAGAGAAAGGACTTCAGGCTTTGGAGCATGCTTAAGCCCCAGCTCTCCAAATTACTAATTGTATAGCTATGGAATAATCTCTGAGTCTCTTGAACTTGATAATTAGATCACTCTTGAAGGGAAGCTTAATGATTATATATGCAAATTGCTTGGAATGTTGGCAGTGCCCAATGTAGCATAAATGCAACTAAAATCTGAAGGGTTTTTTCCTTGAGACAGGGTCTCACTATGTAGCACAGGCTGGCTTGAATTTGCAGCAATCCTTCTGCCTTGGCCTCCCAAGCACTGGGAATGCAAGTGTGCACCTCCATGCCTGGTGTCCCCCCTAAGACTGTCATCAATCACTGAGGATGACAGCTGGCTCTCTTCATCTCCTACTGATTGAAGTTTTCCTTACTATACAGAGCAAACAAAACACAAACCCACAGCAGAAAAACCAACAGCAAAGAATGAAGGTTTCTCTGCTCTTACAGGGTAGAAATAATTTATTATTTTTTTGAAAAACTGTCAAGATCTACCAGACCCAATTTTTAAGACAGGAGATGGCTTTAGAGTTCTCAGAGTTCAGAAGGACTGCTTTCTTCACTTTGTATTTTCCAAGATGATTGAGAAATATTTGCCATGTGAAAGGTTTCACGGATATTCCTCACACGGAAACATTAAGGAGCAGCAAAGACCCTAGAACAGGGGTCAGGTTACCTTTTCAGAGAGTATAACTACTTACAATGCCCACAGCTGTCTCCCAGCAAGAACCCCGGGGCACATCTGCAGGGTGGAGGGGTGGTCGGGGGACACTCTCATTCCAACCCGAGGAATTGTAATAGTTAAACAGCGTCCAGTGAGTGATGTTCTTTATTGTTGCTTCATTAGAAAGCTAGAACCAAAGACGGAGATGCGAGGTTAGAAAGTTAGGGAGGGTCCATGTGTTTGCACAGAACAATTGTAATTAGCACATGTTACACTTTTGCCATGTAGCCTCTGCCCTCTCTGCCCTTGACAGAGTCTTTCCAAAATACCCTCCCCAAGCTTTGCATCTATCCCAGGAAGGGAGCAATTGGTTGAAGTCTTTGGGTCTTTCCTACAAAGGCTAGTGAGAGTTTCATATCTGGTGAATGCTGATGAATAGTTAGGTCAACCATGATACCATCTCTGTGCATGGTTACTTGGCTGTTAGTCACTTGTGGCAGTGATGAAACAATATGGGAAAGGCTACAGATAAAATATGAAGGGTACTAAATGACATGTATATGAGGTGAAAAAAGATAACCTAAGAAAAAGACAGTAAAGAACTTAAACAAAATGTCAACACTTGTGATTAATATTCTGGGGATATTTTTTCCTTACTGAACTTTTATCATTTATTTAATTAACATGAATTATGCATAATTAAATTATATTTAAAAAGGGAATATGGTGGCCACCAGGAACTGGGAGTTTGTAGTTTTTACCTTGAGGTGGACATCATCCATTAGAGCCAAGAGAAATGTATAGAGGTTCCCCAGGAAGAGTGCAAAGATCCGCCCCAGCTGCCACTTCAGTCCAATTCGAGGGTGATAATTCTCCAGTGCAGCAATGGTTTCAAAGAGAGGGGGACAAAACATCCCAAGCAAGGACATCACAATCTCTACCTAGATATAAGGAAACCCTAGGTTACTAGTTTTGTCTCTCTTATTATTTGGCCACCATCCCTGCAGCCCCATGGCCATCCACCTCCATCTCTCTACTTTCCCTTCCTCTGCATCTGAGCATTCCTAGGGCAGTGATGGTGAACCCAAGCACATGGGCCACAGCGGGCTGTTTGTGTCACTGAAAGCTCTAAAGCTTTGCTGTCACTATCCTAGGGTCTCTATAACTTGCTGTATGACCCTGGTCAAGACATCAGCATGCCCCGAGACCTTGGCATACGCTTGCCCATCATAACTCCTCTGCTACTGGCTGTTGTCATGAATGTTGCTATTAGTATTGATGAAAGTAGCAAAATTTCCTGAAGGAGCAAGTGATTAACCTATGAGACAGAGCTTGATATTCTGTAGGGTTGTGCACAAGGTAGGAGTCACTATAGGACTCAAGGTAGGAGTCACTATATTATCTCCAGAGTAGTGAAGGCAGAAAGGTGAGATCCAGAACTGACAGTGGAAGGTAGGAGTTCAATTAAGAGTGCAGCTTTTGGATCCAGCTCTTTGGATCTGTATCCCAACTCTGCCACTCGTTGGCTTTGTAACTTAGCAAAATTTACATAACTTCTCTTAGTTTCTTATTTCTTCAGGTGTAAAATGGTGATGATGGGCTTGCCATCCAAGAAGACGGAGAGATAGCGGGGATGCGCATGAACAGGACATGTAAGGCCATATAAGGCCATGTAAGGACATGTAAGGACATAGTGAGAGTAGTAGCCATCTACAAGTCAAGGAAAGGAGCCTTGGGAGAAACCAAACTTGTCAACTACTTGACTTTGGACTTTCAGCCTCAAGAATTGTGAGAAAGGGCCGGGGATTTAGCTCAGTGGTTCCGGCGCCTGCCTCGTGAGCACAAGGACCCAAGTTCGATCCCTGGTACCAAAAAAACCCAAAACCCAAACAAAACAAAACAAAATAAAAAAGGATTGTGAGAAAGTAAATTCCCAGTCCGTGGCATTTTGTTGCAGACTAAGACACTGGCTGCCAGTAAAGGGGGCCTGGAGGCATCTCTTCCTGAGCATAGCTATAAAACTATATTGCAAAGACTATGTATTTAAGGGCAGCAAGGCTTTGTAGCCATTTTTGTAAACTACCACAGATGTCAAATTCCCCAAAGAGATTTATGAATTCAATATAATCACAATAAAACTTTAATGTCTTTTATTGTGGCTCTCCATGACAGAACTCACTGTACCAGGGATCAAGATATACTCGAAAGTCATAGTGTATCAGTGTGTTATTAAGAACAGGAACAGAGAAATAGAGCAATGGAACTAAAAAGAGCCAGAATCACATTCATATGTGATTTATAACGCATAGCACTGCAGAGCTGTGAAGAAGGAATCATTGTTTAAAGTAACTGGTATTAGAACAACTAAGATATCCAGTTGACATGTTAGTTACAATCTGTATTTACCTAGTTACAAATACTAGCCCCTAGAACAAACGTGTCTTTGTTCAAGATGTTCATACTACTTGACTAACACTGATACAGCCAGAAATTTAGCTCAGTGGTTCCGCTGCCTGCTTCACAAACACAAGGTCCCAAGTTCGACCCCCAGCACCAATAAATAATTAATTAATTAACTTTAAAAACGGATGTGATTTCACTTTTAAAAACAAGTCCTAAACTGGGCATGATAGTACAGGCCTGTAATCCCAGCACTTGGGAAGCTGAGGCAGGAGGATCACTACAAGTTTGAGGCAAGCCTGGGCTACATAGTGAATTCAGGGCCAGCCTGAATTACAAAGTGAGACCCAACCTCAAAAACAAGCAAGCAAGCAAACAAACAAACAAACAAACAAAAAAGTTCTAGCTGAACATAGTGGTGCACATCTGAAATCTCAGCATGCTGGAAGGCTAAGGCAGGAGGACCATAAATTCAAGTCGTATGTGGGCAATTTAATGAGAACTTGTCTCAAAATAAAGAATAAAAAGAGCTGGGGACATAGCTCAGCATGGTGGCCCTGGTTTTAATCTCTAATCCCACAACAAACAAACAAACAAGAAAAAAAGTCCAATAATTCAGACATTCAGTAAATATGCTGAGTGGCATAGTATCTGCGCTCAACCTTCACTTCATCAGAGATGCCCTTCTTACCTCATTCCTTTCATACCAACTGACATTCTGCATTTTGGAAAACTCCTGGGATCTCTTCACAACAAAGTAAATGAGGTACCCACTCCCACACAAACAGCAGATGATGAGAAAATTGGCCAGGATACGAAGAAATCTTGTCAGGTGGATATTTTCTTCTCTGTTACTCTCTTGTTCATCCACTATTGATTCCTTTGCATGTAAAAAATAGGTGCAATAATGTCAGGCTAGGAACCAACAGAAAACATGGTTTTTGGATCCTAGAAAATACTAATTTCTCTATTTCCAAAAATGAATAGTAAAGATGAGGTGATATAATATTCTATGCACTATGGAGAATTAGCTTTTATTTTCTTTAAGAAAAATGTTTTGTTGTTTTTGTTATTTTGGTACATAATGGGTAAAATTTATTGAATACTATGTGCCAAACAGGATTCTAAACACTCTCCATGCATTCTCTCTCCTAGTCCTAACAGCAAATCAATAGAGTAGTTATCTTCATAGATGCTAAGGCCCAGGGAGATTTCAGTACTGTCTAGAACTGCTTGAAGTTAATAAGGCAGAATCAAATTGAATCTCAACAATGCTAAGTTCTCCAATCTACGGCTCAGCAAAACTTTCCTATAAAAATCTAAATAGTAAATATTTTGGCTTATAAAGTCTATGGTCTCTTTCATTTAACTTAACTATGTATGCCATTATTAAATGAAAACAACCATAGACAGTGTGTAAATAAATGGGTATGGCTTTGTTTCGATAAAATTTTACTTACAAAAGCATGAAGAAGGCTGGATTTGGCCAAGGGCCATGGTCTATCAACTCCTAATCCATGAGCATGGTGTATCTCTTCATTTATTTAGAGTTCCTTTTTTTTTTTTTTTTTTTTTTTTCCCACCTGCACTACTGAGCTAAATCCCCTGCCATGCCCAGCTTTTTGTGATTTTTTTTCAGTACCAGGAATCAAACTCAGGGCCTCGTGCTTGCCAGGCAGGTGCTGTGCCACTGAGCTATTCTTACCTCATTCCTTTCATACCAGCTGACATTATGCATTTTGGAAAACTCCTGGGATCTCTAGCCCTATGTAGAGTTTCTTAATTTCTTTCAACCTTGTTATGTACGTTTTTTGTGCAGTGGTCATATACATTTTTTTGGGGGGCATGATGAATTTATTCCTAGGAATTTCATACTTTGATACTATTGTAAGTATAATTTAAAAATTGTTTATAATTGTTTTCTACTAGGATACAAGATACAATTGATTTTTGCTTATTATCCTTATGTCATGCATTGGTACCTCTCTATGAAGACACAAACAGTAAATTGCAGAGCACTAAAGTACTTGGGAGGACGCCTTTCCAACCAATTATTAGTTACTGTACTGTGCTCAGATTCAGGTTTTAACTAACTTATCAGGTAGTTAAGCTATGTTAGCTCACATAATTCTCACACTATCACAGTTGTGGGGTAATGTGACCTCTGCTAGGTCTTGGGAGGAAAGATCTGATAAATCAGACAGGAGAAATATTGAACCAGGAAAAACTTGGAGTGGTTTTTACAGTCACAAAAGAAATGCTCAGTATGCAGTGTGCTACAAACAATAGCTTCTGTCTTTATTCATTTGCCTACTGTTTGGTTTGAATAGCTCTGTAGCCCACCTCCAATTTCTTTTATGAACAAATTAAAGGGATAATTATGTGTGGATTATAAGAAATATAGTGTTGTTTCCTTCCTTCCTTCCTTCCTTCCTTCCTTCCTTCCTTCCTTCCTTCCTTCCTTTCTTTCTTTACCAGGAGTTGAACTTGGCCTCATACTTGCCAGGCAGGTGGTGCACTGCTGATCTACATAGTGTTAATTCTTTAATTCTCACATCTCAACTCTTAGGTGTTTGGATCACTTGGGAAGCTTTAAAAAAATGCCAGGACCCCTCCCCAGGCCAATTACTTCAGAATCTCAGGTGGGGGCAGGAGAGTTTAAAAGCTCCTCAGGGATTCTAGCATGCAGAAAAAGTTGACAAGGAAATTCCATTTCCTCTAACAGAAAATACTTTCATGAGGAATCAGGCAGGAACAGATTCCAGCTTTCAGGATTTTGTGCCATGCAAGAAACAGAAGGGTAACTCCACGACCAGTCTTTCTAGAAGGCTTGAGAGCTGGGCTTGTGTTTTTTTCTGGTAAAGTTCCTGCCAGATTATTTGGGTGTCTCATTTCCTATGCTTCCAGTACGTGGAAGAAGTTTCCCAGTGACCAGAGGGACTCAGAGATCTCCCAGAAAGTGAGAACTGCTCTGCACAGACTACCTTGAAACTGGTGGTGATGGAGGTGTATTTGTTGTCTGCTGTTTCTGAATTCCCAATCAAGTAGTCCCAGCTGGTGAACATCTTGAAGCTGAATGTGAAGTTATCACTCTCTCCCTCGCTTGTGCTCCCCTGGGTATTGCTGGCCATCCTGGAGGGCACACAGCACTGTTATTATGCCTGCTGTGTCACCCAAGGGAAACTTGGCCTGAGTCAGTCTTGAGTAGCGGTAGCAAACAAACAGGTAGCAGACATCCAAAAGAAAACAAGCCAACCAGGGACTGGAGGCAAGACAACTATGATGATAGCCAGAGCCCTTAACCTCCCAAATCCGGAGTCCCCTGCAAGCACACATAGTGTCAGTTGGATAATAAAGCATCTGTAGGATACAGCACACTTGATCATGTTTGGTCTTGCATTTGACTTCCTGTGGCTTCACCCACCTGCCAATGCGGTTTAAAAACTTTTGGGGGGACTGTTCTTAAGGAGAAATATGCCCTTCTAAGTCATCTCTTTTCTAGGATATGCATATACTTTTGCCTGATATAAAACCCAGTAACCTCTTAGGATATTGGTTCTGTAATCAGGTACCACATCCTTTTCTTTTACTTTTGTTTGTTTGTTTTTTGGTACTGGGGATCAAACTCAGGCCCTCACACTTGTCAGTCAGGTGCTGTGCCACTGAGCTAAATCCCCAGCCCCTACTATATCTTTTTCTTAAGTAAAGCTGGCTGAAACCATCTTGGGCCCTCCTGTTCCTACCCCTTTATCCTATTTGTCCTCACTCAGCCTCTCTGCGCTCCCTAGAGTTCAGCCCTATGGAAACCACAGAATTCTAAGCAGGGGCTCTATCAAATGCTATGTGTTATTTGTACTCCATCCTAATTCTATCTTATGCAGTTGAATTTGATGGTCCACAGGATTTAGTTTTTCTGGTTCATCACAGAAACATTCCATATACCTAGTTACCTTAGCCCTAGGATAAAATCAGGAAAACAACTAATAACATGAGGGCTAGGAGCAAAATCCAGCTTGCATCCTTGTTTTTTCCCTTTTGCTTGATAGAACTGGGTGGCCAGATATCACCTCACAGTCACTTTAGAGTACTGGCCAGGGTCTGTGAGCAACAGCACTTTCTACTGAGATGATCCTCCTCTGGGGCTCTCACCAGACCCAATAATGTTTTATTCCAGTTCTGGAGGCCCAGCTAGCTACCCATACATTCCTGCCAGAAATGACCCCTTGTGGCCCTACAAAAAGGTGAGTGGGCTCTGGGTCAGGTTTGTATAGGAGACTGCTTCTACCTTCCCCACCACTATAGTTATGCCTGATGGCCTTAGGAGACACTTGAGATGGCAATTCATGGGCTGAGCCAAACTTTGTCTTCAAAGAATATGAATTAAGAGGCACAGATGTATTAAAAGGCCATTTCTGAGCATAGAGATGGGTAAACTGGAGCCAGAGAGGCTACCATGGTTAATCACAGCCACATAGGTTTATTGCTTATATCTTTATAAATGCCAGGCTTGGTTCTAAATGTAAGCTAGAGCTATAGCATAGTTTTTCTGAGGAAGCTGAGCTCTACAGAAAAGCATACAGGCCTTACAAACCTACACCTTTACCTCATTAGGTACTGTGGTCCCTCTCAAGCTATACTGACATTTTGACAGTTTTGAGAATACACTAGAACATTTACTGCCTCTGGGCCTTTCTACATGGTTTTTCTTTGTCTAAAATTTTGCACCTCAGACTTTTAGCATGGCTGCCAATTCTCAGCCTCATCTAAAGGAATTTTTATCTTATTTTCCAGAACTTTACACACAGCCCTGTTTATGTCTAACACCTATTATAGTTATCATTTACTTTGTGTATCTAGTTCCTTATTTTCTCTCTAACTGCCCCATAAGAAAGTAAGTAGGCATAGAGGAGCCAGGGAAATAAGTTATTTGTGTGAAGAAAAGTCAAAACTTGTAAACAAGATGTCATACTTACGATCTAATGACAATCATCAGACTGTAGCCAAACACGCTGATCCCCACCATAAAGTAAGCCATGGGCAGCCTGTACCTCAGCCACCCAATGGTTCTCTGGTTGTTGTAGTAGCCATAGAAGAGAGCCGAATACTTGATGTAGCCCTGCAGGATAGCAGATCTAAGTGCTCTGGGTTTGTGAGCTCAGAGTAGCTGGGCATCAGATACTTCCATTCTACCTCAGGTTTCTATCTCAGTGTTTGAACAGGGTCAGTGTAGGAGAGTGCAGGGTCGGATTTGCATTTGGGAAAATTCACGTTGGCAACAGAGGTATTAGGAGCTATGCCTGCGCAAGCAGAAGAGACAGAGGATGCATTCAGACAGTAATCCTGGTAAAATGATGGCATTTGTCTAAGCAGAAGAAGAAGGGACAGGGAAAGTGTTTGGATAATGCTGAGATTGTGTCTGATAATTAAATGCAGTATTCCCCTTTCATCTTTAAGCCTGAGAATCACAAGGTGGTAGTGCAATGGCCTATTGGCCTTAGTACCTCAAAATCCCAAAGGACAGAAAAGTCCATGGCTTTTTCTTCCTCAGCCCGAGGCACGGTCTTTCTGGGAATGCTTCCGTAGGGCACACCCATCAGTACCTTGAGCAGGGACAGAAAGACACAAGTATAATTGGAGGAAACGTGGACCCATACAGACAAAACCCATACATGTTAACTGGGTTAAACATTTCGCCTCTTAGAAAGGGACATTCCATTTTCTTCTTTAAATAACATTAATGTCTTCGACGATTTTAAAGGTAGCACACACTCATTTGCAGAAAATGTGAGAAGTATAGTAAAGCATTTTTATTATGTATCATTTCCACAACCCAAAGATAATAACTGCTAGATAGGTATAGATTTTGTTTTAGTTACTCTGACTCCTGTATATATTTTAGCCTAGTTATTTAGCTTAATATAGTATATTACAACCAATTCCCTGTGTCATATTTCCCCAAATAAAATGACTTTAAAATATCTAATCACATGTGTGTATTTTACACATACTTAACAACTCTCTATTGTTGGATTTTAGAGTATTTCTAGTTCTACATGTGTACATAATTTGGTTAATACCCTTATACACAGGCCCTTATTCACATCCTTAATTATGCAAAAAAATCAGAATCACATGGAGTTTACTTTTTTTTTTTTTTTTTTTTCGGTACCAGGGATTGAACTTGGGTCCTTGTGCTCTCAAGGCAGGCAGCAGAACCACTGAGTCAAACCCCCGGCCTGGGAGTTTACATATTAAGGATAGATTGACTTTTCTATGACATTTTCTTTTTCCAAGGATATATCCCTCCATTTATTGTCCTATTTTTGCCCTGTAATATGAACTTGATAGTGTTCCTCACAGAAGTCTTCTGGCTGGTTAAATTGTTACTGGTTATTTTATACGTTTATTGACATTATGAATATAAAAATTTTAAATTCTATTCTAAACTAAATGTTAAGAATATGGAGAATTCCTGCTATACATCTATTTAAAGTAAGTCTTAGTTAGTTTGGGGGCTGGAAAAGTACCTCAGTGGTAAAGTGCTTACATACCATGCACAAAACTCTGTGTTTGATCCCAGCACCACAAAACAACCAACCAACCAACCAACCAGATTTTGGCAGAATAACTGGACTTTGTGTGTGTGTGCATGGGTCTTCCATCATATCACCTGAAACATTGTTTTTTGAGACAGGGTCTCACTATGTATTTGAGAATGGCCTGAAATTCACTATGTAGGGCAGGCTGGTCTTGAACTCACAGTGATCCTCCTGCCTCAGCCTCCAGAGTGCTGGGATTACAGGTGTGTGCCACCACGCCCGGCTGAACCATTGTTTTTTGTATAATATGCAGAGGTATTTCATTTTCCTGATTTATTGGTAGAAATTTCAAAAAAATATTGAAAAGTAGTGAGGGTAAGGACATATTGCTTGTAATTTTTTTCGGATAATGACATTTCGAAATTTTTTATTAGTATATGTTTGTAATATGTAATAATTACACTCATTTTGGGGAATTGATACATGTACCTATTGCATCTTGTTCACTTTTACTTCCCCTTTCCCCTTCTCCTGCCCTCCTGCTCATAAATTTTGTGGCATTTCACCATTTAATATATCATTATTTTTGGCTTTTAAAATTTTTGGCTTATCATCTTAGGTTATTTTCCTGTTTCTTTTGTTTTTAATTTATATTCCTATTGGGAAATATATATGCCCATAAAGTGGCATATATAACACATATGCACATTTGGTCGTAATGAAAATTAACCACTGTGTACCCGCAGTCTAGCTTAAGAAATAGAAAGTCACCAGGACTTTAGGACCCCCTGGGAAGGCCCCTCCAGAATCATACTTCTCTTCTAGCTGAGATGCAACCAAGATGTAGTTTATTTTATAACTATTCCTTTGCTTTTCCTTATATTTTACTCATTTATTGCTTAGTTTTGTCTGTTTCCCACAGAGATATTAAGTCTCCAGGAATCTTAAGGTAAAGTAAAAGGTAGGAAAATGTGGTGTCTGTTTGTTAAATAGAAACACAAGTATTTTAGTTCCAGTCTTTGTACTGAACCATCTGCATGATTGATATGAGTATAAAATTTAAAACGAATAACTATTTTTTTTTTAAACAGAGAGCATTTGGATAATACAGATTAACACAGCCTTGATAAGCCTCAACACTACTCAAAGATATAGGAATACGTTTTATTTTTACCTCTGGAATTATGACTAGACCAACTATTAAGCCAAAAAGGACCAAGTTAACGCCATACATCCATCGAAGAAAGATGAAATATGATGCAACTGAAGAACCAAAGTGACCTGGAGAGAGAAAAGATGGCAGATTTATGTGTGCAGATGGAAGAACCTGACACTGTTGACAACTTTATGATTCTGAGCAACTAAATTTTCACATTAGTCTGAGGAACAAATATCCTAATTTCCACTTTTTTTTTCCAGATAAATAACCCTAATCCCTGTGGGGTTAACCAACCTGCCTAAATTGCCAAAACCAGATGATTTAAGTCTTGATCCTACTAATCACAAACCTCTCCCGTGCTTCCCCCCTTCTCTCTCCTCCTCCTTCTCACCCCGTTTTTCTTCTCCTCCTAATTCTTCTTCTTCCACCTAATATAACAGAATCTATGAAATAATGTAAGGTCAAGAACACAATCCAGGCCTGGGGATTTGGTTCACTGGTTCCACTGCCTGCCTCACAAGCGCAAGGTCCCGAGTTTGATCCTGGTACCCAAAAAAAAAAATCCCCCAAACCCCCACACAATCCAAGCCCTTGGAAGATTCTTCAGGAAACTGACTGAAAAACAGTGACACCAAATAACTTACTTTCAATGTCCTTGATCTTCATTTCCCAGGGAATACACTGAGTCTTAAAATTGTCAAAATCTCTCTTAAACTTGACCCATTTCTGAAATAAAACAGGCAAAACCCTCAGTTACTAACACGTTGACTTGGAGCACAAAGTAGCTTGTGGTAGGGCATGTTGCTGTTGCTATGTCAACATGAGGTTGAAATAAGGGTGCAGCTGCCACCTTGGGGTCCCTATCTCCTGAGATCCTGAGCTCAGGCTGCCAGAGGTGGATGTCCCACCCCTTTGCTTTCCCAAAGTTAAGCATGGAGGGAATGAGAGAGAAGCCAGGACAACAGCAACACTTTGCCTTTCTCTATCATGCTGTTAGTCTAAGATTTAGAAAGTTTTAACATGAATTTAGAAATTCTGTGTACAATTTCTGATTTGGGGGAATTGAATTGGGTTAGCAACCTTTGATACAACTTTTTCATCTTAAAACTAACTTCAAGGGAAAAAGATATTTCACAGTTCTAATACATTTGATAGATAGCCAAGTATCTATTCTGAATAGGAATTTATACTAAACTATAAGGCTGGTGGAACTGGTACATTGGTCTCAACTCCTGGCCACCCACTCTCCTAGGATAACAACAGCCTTGCTTTTCTGGAAGGAGTCAGGAAGGCATTGTTTCCCCACTAATGGTGCTATGGTTTGGATCTGGACTGTCCCCTAAAGGTCCACATACCAAAGGCTTGTTCTCCAGAGTGCTATTGGGAGGTAGAAGAACCTTTAAGGAGTAGGGCTCAGTGGGAGGGCTTCTGGTCATTGAGGTGCACCCTCAAAGGAGACAGTGGGACCAGCCCCTTCGTCACTTTTTAAAAAAAATCTCAGCCATGAGGTGAATGTTTTTTCTCTATTATGTGATCCCACCATGAGGTGCTGCTTCTCCACAGGCCCCAAACAACGAGGCTAACTGATCATGGACTGGAACCTCCAAAACTGTAAGCCAAAATAATTTTCTTTCAATAAGTAGATTAGCTCAGGTATTTGTTATAGTGATGGAAAGATGGCCAGTGCACATAGGTTTGTCTTCAATTCAACACCTGGAGTTTGTATCAGCCAGAAACCAGAGTAGCTGTCTGTCTGACAGCTAAGTGTTGCTTTGTCAATTCTCCCAAGGTTTGCTCTCCACTCATCCCACCTCTTGGAAATAAATCCATTTGAAATTTTAAGAGAGACTCATGGAAAATAGCAGGCAAAGAAGTGGTAGACAGCTGATTTTAAGAACATTTTATATATATACTTATTTATTTAAGATTTTTTTCTCCATTTTATTTCAGGAAATTTTCAGGTAATTGTATCATTTGAAAGTGAATGTACATTGCTTCCTTTCTAATCTTTTCAAAGTATTTTCTATTTTTTAACAGGTCTTCTAAAAATTATTCATGAAGGAAATGAGATTTTCTCTTGTAAAGTCCCTAAGGGATGAAAGGTTTGTGTGAAGGGATGAGACCGGCTTCCAAACCAGATTTCTAGGCATGGTTTTGCTATATACTGAACGAATGATTACCATGGAAAAAAGAAAACCATTTGTCAGAAGACACGGATAATCACAGATGTGAAAGAAAAGAGAAACTTATAGGCAAATGTCTAGATGATAACAATGGCAAAGACCTGAAAGGATGTGCAGAAAGGCAGATAATGGTCTCTGGCTGCTCCAGCCCCATGGTATCATCCCCTTTGTCTAATTCTATGCTCAAAAATACTCCTTGGTTTATTTGGTTTCCTACATAGGTTTGCCCATAAAGAGGGCACTTGCTGATCACCTGGGCTACATGGATCTTGGTTTCTAAGGTAAGGTTTTCTAAGGTAGTTTCTAAGGTAGCTTGGAATTTGGGTGAAGGTATTGGTGCCCATGTAACTAACTTGACTATGAAAAATAAAAGGCACGCTTCTGTGGACTTTGCATTTTTCAGCTCTTGCATCAGTAATTTCTCCTTGTAAATTAATAATGTAGTAGCTGGTTTTATGTGTCTGTCTCATAAGCTTTATTAATGTGAGTCCTCCCCTGACAGATGGATCTCTTGTCAGGGTGCTGATACAATCAGTATAAAATATAGACTTGCAAAACTGAGGAGCAGTGGGAATGATGAACGTGGCCAAGTGAGGTCTCTGGGGGCAGAGCCTTGGAAACCACCTGCCAGTCCCTCAAGGCTGTGGGCATCCTGGACTGAAAATGAGGCTCTGGGGCAGAGGCTAAGAAAGGCCTGGGAGAAGCTGTACAGTGAAGCACTCATCCTTTATTGGTTTAGAGACCCAGAAAATTGGGCAGAGTAAAGGAAAAAATTAATTTTGCTTTAGTTATTATTTTATATATATATATATATATTTTTTTTTTATTTTTATTTTTTATTTTTTTATTTTTTTGGTACTGAGGAGTGAACTCAGGACCTTGTGCTTGCGAGGCAGACTCAGTGCCACTGAGCTAAATCCCTGGCCCAGAGAAAAATAATTTTAAAAATAAAAAGAATCAAATCAAACAGATATGCAGACTAATAAAATTACTGTACTGCCATATACCTCTATCTATAAATACAGGAAAATTTTAATGAAATAATCAAATTTAGAGAAGAATATGAATTATCAAGATGGGCCCCTAAAAGTTGAAACTTGAATACAGCATTAAAGAGGGATGGATGGCATAAAAACATTATTAAGGAATTCTCTAAAGATGGAACTTGCAAAAAAATGAATATTCATACTCCATAAATATACAACATAAGGAGAAAATAATACTCTCCATTTAATATTATAAATCAAGTACACCCCTAGTAGTAAAGATCTGCAAGATGGCATGTATGACCTCCTGTGGGCGCACAAACACACACACACACAAACACACACACAAATTTAGATCAATCTTATGAAAATTTATGTAAAAACCATAAGTAAAATAGTTTAATACCAAATGTATCTATGGAATTAAAAATAATGTGCCACAACAGAGCTAATCCCAGAAATGAAAGGGAGTTTGGTAGCAAAAAGGGAAAGGTGTTTAATGAAACCTAATACCTATTTCCAATAAAATGTACCTCTTCTTAACTATCACTAAAGCCTAATTTCTTATTATGAGAAAGTCTACTCAAAGCTTTCAATATGAAACACTGAAGTTGTTCTCATTAAAATGATGAAAACACAAAGCCACCTGTGGTCACTATTGTCAATTGAAATTTTCAAGAATCGCTGACCCACAGTTTAGGAAAGGAATAATACACCACATTTACAAGAAGCTGACAAAACCTCTTTAACATACATATTCAGGTGAAATTGATTAGAATGATGAGAATTAATAAGAGTGCAAAATTCTGGGGATGTAGATCAGTGATAGAGTACCTGCTAGCACATGTGGACACAAGGTTTGATCCTCATGTGTACACATACGTACACACACAGACAGAACTAGATATAAAATTAATGCACAAATCTGTACCTTTCTACGTATAACCAACAACTAGTTATTAAATTAATGAAAAATGATTCCATTCATAAAAGCAACTAGATTATAAGTTATAGAAGTAAAATTAAAACATAGAAAATATTTAAATAAAGAAAATGACAAACTTCGTGGAAGGATATAAAATAAGAAATATATGGTATTTTTTGATGCAAAACTAAATGTTATATAGGCCAAATTAAATCAAGGGTTAAAAAATTTCAAACAAATACGTAGAATACAAAAAAATTTATCTCAGCTGGGTGTGTGGCACATGCCTATGATCCCAGTGCTTGGGAGGCTGAGGCAGGAGGGTTGTCTGGAGTTCTGCGCTACATAGTAAGTTCAAGGCCAGCCTGGACTACATAGTGAGACCCTGTCTCAAAAAGCAAAAAAAAAAACATAAATAAATAAATTTATTTCAGAGCTGGGGATGTAGCTCAGTGGTAGAGCTTGTTTAGCATTCATGTGGTTCCAGGGTTCAATCACTAGCACTGCAAAAAACAAATAAAAATAAAAAGTTAATCTCAGAGAAGTTGAGAGTAGAATGTGGCTGCTAGAGGCAATAAATAAATAAATAAGAGACACACTAAGCTAATCATTAAATCATGGTTCAGAATAAAAGCCCTGAGGCAAACTATATAAGAATTAAGTGATGACAACGTTGGTTTTTCAAATCAGTGGATACTTTGATACCATTTCAAGATCCCAAAGGAAAGCTATTTTAATAAGTCCCACAGTAAATATCCAATCATAGAAAATTATCCTTGCCTGAATCAGAAGCCTAGGTTATGACATTACAAAGTAGAGATGTCCCCCACCCCTGGAAACATCACAGTTTACTATCCACTGTGACTCTGATTATGCTCTCTCTTCTGGGTCTCCACCAAATCAATGTGTCCTTACTTGGGGTTTGGAAAATAAAATCCAAGTGGTTTTAGCATCATTAATTCTGTGAGTTTATTTATGGGAAAGGAAACAAATCTCACAAATATTGAAGCCCCCACAGATAAGTATAAAATAATTGGCAGCATATTGTATTTTCCTGGAGGAATTAGAATGATCTATGGATCTCACTTTTAGGATTTGTGTTAGTCATTTTTCTCTCATTGATGAGACAAAATACTCAATACCCTAAGTAAAAGGGCAAAGGATTTATTTGGCTTACAGTTCATAGAATCCATAATGGGCTAGCTCCAAGGTAGGGTGGCAGAGGGGCAACATTTTGTGTCAGGGGAGATAGCAAAAGCAACAGAGGGCCTTAGCAGCATCTTTCTGCCCCTTTTATTTTATTCATACTACTGAGGGCAGGTAGCATTCACCCCCTTAATCCTAGTGCCCTCAGGCCTAGCCCCACCAAAAATAAAACACACTCTCTAGATTCAGCCACCTCTGAAAAAGCATGAGGCTCTGTGTGTGTGTGGGGGGCATCTAAACACAAGCCACAACAGGATTCTAGGGGAAGTTGACAGAAATGGTGAGGCAGGGGCAGGTACTTGCAGGGGTCACCCGCATTCCCTGGCTGAGCAGGCCCTCCCAACAGGTGTGCTATCTCTGTACCACACACCTTAGCCATCAGCATCCTGTAGGCGTAGAGTCGCTTGCCTTTTCCCTTTCCTAGGGCTCCTTCATACTTCTCCACAAATGCTTGGGCCTCCCTGGTCAGGGGAAAAATATATATAATTAACAACTAACCAATGAAAATCTAAACTATGACAGAGTGTATATGGCTGAAAGTCTTGGATGATTTTATATCCTTGATTAAACTTACATTCCACAAAAGCAGGGCATTTTGCTTGTTTTGTCTAGTGAAATTTCCCAAAAGCCATATGGTAGACCCTTTTGGGAGGCAGAATTTCATCATTGCTCCCAGAGACTGGGTGTTATACCTGTGGATAAGCTGTCATGTGGCAAAAGGGACTCTCTGTGGATATAATTAAGATTGATGACTTTAAAATAGGGAGATTATTATCTGGATGAACCCAATGTAATTGCCTGAGTCCTTAAAAACAGATGAGGAAGGGAGAAAGAGAGAAAGAGAGAGAGAGAGAGAGAGAGAGAGAGAGAGAGAGAGAGAGAGAGAGGAGGGAGAGAGACAGTGCACAGAAGGGAAATTCTTAACTTCTGTTGCTGGGTCCCTCTGGAGGGGCCTGTGGAAAGTATGAGAAGGAAATGAACTCTGCAAACAATCCGGGAGCTAGGAAGAAGACCTCAAGCCCCAGATGAGATCTGAACCCTGTTAGGATGTTGGAGTGTTATAGCTTGTGTTTAGATGACTGCCCGAAGCCTCATCTGAATGAGGTGGGGCTGTTTTGGAGGTGGCTGAGTCTAGAGTGTAGGATTCATGTTGCAAGGAGAGGCCCGAGCACACTAGGATTAAGGGTGTGAGCACTACCTGCCCTAAGCAGTCTGAGTAAGATAAAAGGGGCAGGAAGACACTGTTAAGGTCCTTCATTGCTTTTGCTATTGTGTAGGCACCTAGAACTGTTTCTCCTCTACCACACCCTTCCGCCATGTGCCACTCTGCCTTGGAGCCAGCCCATTATGGACTGAAATCTCTACAAACTGTGAGCTAAATATACCCTTCCCCCTTAACCTTGGGTGTTTGGTATTTTGTCTCTGCAAGGAGAGCAAAGTAACACACGGAGATTCTGGGTTGTTGGCTTCTCCAGCACCCAGTCTGGGATACACAAGACAAAAAGAAAAGCCAAGTGACCCTGTCATTCCTTCATCCAGAGGTCCTGTGCCAGTTTATCTGCTCTTCACCTTCCTAAGTCTTTTGTTTGCTTCATATATGACATCCAGGGTTTTAATTGTAGTGGGAGAATAGGGGAAAACACATCTACTTTGTTTTCTTAGAAGCAGCTTTCTGATCTTTCTAAAGAAAGCAGGCAGTTTGGGTAATTTTCTAAGACACCAAGCTTCCTACAAAGCTGAAGAAACTGTCTGACAAATTCTATAAAGCAACACCTTGACTCATGGGCACTGGAACTCTTAATGCCTTGTCTTATTATTAACAGCATCTGTGTGCTTCTCCAGTTCATCTTTGTTCCCTGGCCTCATGCCTCAGGACTCAACATAGTGTAATGGAACAAAATATGTTCAAACTTTAATCATGATAACTACTAATATTAATTGCATATTAATTAGTAGAAATAGTTTTGAACTTATACAATTATGCTCATTTTGATAAATGAGTAATGTGAGGTTTAGAGAGGTTAAGTAAAGGAAACCAGCCAGAGAGAGAGAGAGAGAGTAAGGGGCCTGCTAAAGCCCCTGGAGGGCAGAGGGTTAAAGTCAGGTTGGCCCAGATCCCTGCTGTTACTCTTCACTCTCTGCCATTCTTAGACAGCTATGCTCAAGCCAGCCAGCTGCATCATGGGGACAGAGACTGAGGCCACATATTATTGCTTCAAAAGAGGAGAATGGGGTCTGAGAATGGAACTTGTAGTTGGAGACTCTACTGCCAGCAAAGGAAATCATATAGCAGGCAAAGGGGCTGAAAGGTGAATGTCTAACGGAGAGGTGATTACAAATTAACAGTGCAGGCCCTGGAACCAGAGTTCCTGCATTCAAATCCCAGCTGGGCCACTTAACTTGCTTCCTGATGTTGGGAAAATTACTTGATGATTCCGTGACTCAATTTCCTTATCAGTAAAATGGGGACAACAATAATACCTACATCATAAGGCAGTTGTGAGGATCACTGAGAATAGGCCTAGCACCTAGGGAGCACTCAGCAGAGGCTGGCTAGATATTACAGGGGAGAATATTAAAGGATGAAAAAGACACAGCTTTGTAAACAAGTGCACTCAGTCAGGTAAGGGGACAGTGTATTGGGGATCAGAGGGACGATGAATAGCTCAGCCTGAATGTGGGGAGTGGAACTGGAGACTCCTCTTTAGAGGGGACACTTTGCCTGAACCTTACTGGGGTACAGGAATTAGCCAGGAAGCAGAAGTCTTCTAGGCAGAGGACATGCTGGTGTGGAGTCTCAGAGGCTGGAGAGCCTTAGTCTTGGGCCTAGGATAGGCATCTTGGGGGAGGAGAGGAGAGAGGTATGAAGAGAAAAGCTCCACTGTTTGACAAGGAGACTCACTGAGCAGGAGAGACCTGGTCTATTCAGCTTCTTGGCCTTAGTCACTGCGTACCCTTCCAGCAGCAGAGACCCTGCCCCTGAGAGAGAATGCAGATTTCTCTGGGCAGGAGTTTTTCCCAGTCCCTGGACTTCCAGCCAGCTGGAAATCTCATTTCCACAAGCTTTTTTTCCACTGTTAATAAAAGATGCACCAGGTGACACCTGAGTGAGAATGAGGTTCTGTGAGTGTGACAGGTGGCTGTTCAGCCTCCTGAGAGGAGAAAGAACCCAGCCTGGAGGGAGAGGGGAGAAGGGACTCAGAGAAAGGAGGCTGGGAAGAAGTCACTACTGCCTAAGTTGAACGTATGGTCGGTAGCTAAGAGTCACACAGGTCTATTTTCATTTCTAAATTTTTTTTCCCCAGTACCAAGGATCGAACATAGGATCTTGTGCTTCTGAGGCAGGTATGGTGCCACAGAGCTAAGTCCCCAGACCTAAATTTTGTTTTCATTATTTATTGGTACATTATTGGCATACAATAGTTACATTCATCATTAGAATCTAGTACCTTTACATGATGTATCTTGGTTCTAAATTGTTTTTAATTGTTTCTCTAAAAAATAAAAATGTATATACAGTACTTATAATACAGTACTTATAATGTCTTGATAATTAAATACATTGTAGAATGGCTAAATCAAGCTAATTTACATATGCATTACCTCACTTAGCATTTCTTTTGAGAACTTTTTATATTTTCTTCAGTAATTTTCAGGACCACAATATACTGCCATTGATACTGTCACCATGCTGTACCTAATCTAAATATATTTAAATTTAAAAGTTCAGTTTCTTAGTCACACTAAGTGCGTTTCCTCTCACTTCATAGGAGTCCGTGCAACAATCTGCAGGGCCATAGAGGGAGCGGAGTTTGTGAGAATGCTTGGCAGGGTCTGTACTGCTTGCTGAGTTCACACCCTGGCTGGCCCACTTAATTTGCTGCGTGACCTTGGGAAAACTACTTGATGCTTCTGTGACTCTAGGTTAGAATCTTTGCCATGTCTCTTAGGTAAACGGTGTCAAAACATGACGGCTGAACTGTGACCCTTAAAAGGGTGAAGAGTCGACCTGAGCATGAACAAGCCAAGGAAAATGGGTTTCACATAGAGGAAAGGGGACGGTGAGGTCACCCCTAAGGCGGTGGCAGCAAAACAGCAGGGATTTAGGGGAAATGTAATCTTGGGTGGGAATTTTCTAGTAGAAAACCAGAAGTAATAACTGTGACTTCTGTTCTTTTCTCAAAACTGCAGCAGTGACTCAGGAGTCATAAAGAGATTGATGTACCAGCCTTTCATATGGAAACCAGAGAAGTGGAAGAGTTGAACAGAGAAGTCAAGTGACATGAGTAGGAAGCCCACTCTCATTTCAAGAGCTGTACTCATGGAGCTCTGTCTCCAGTGTGGTCTTGGGTTGGAGATGAGCAAGTAGCAAAGACTAAACTTCTTTCACCGCAAGTAAGAGTGAGCTACAGATGTAGAGATTCAAGGTGCTTATATAACACAAGAGAGAGTCAGTCTTATTGAGAAAAGATGTCATAGGTGACTTCCCTGGAGAAGGTGTATTCTAGGTTATGACGGAGGCACAGAACTACCAGGTGACACAGGGCACTGGACAGAAGGATGTCAGGTAACGGGAGGGTTGGACACCGGTCTTCTAGCCTCCTCTCTCTCTTTTGCTTGGTACTGACAAATCTCAAGGCCCTCTGGGTCCCAAAGTGCATCCCACTTCCTTGCTGTGGTTTCACTGCAGAGGATGAGAGGATGAATTTCTCTTCTTATCAAGTACCCTTGGGGCAAAGAGAAGGAAGAGGCTCCCTTTCCCAACAGAAGGAGCTGAACCTTGTAGCCACAGAGAAATCTCATTGGCTGATATCCAGCTCACCTGAGCTCAGTCAGCTTCTTTGCCATGGGCCAGGGCTTGTTCCGCATGGTGGCAATGAGCTTCTTTTTTTCTTCCACCTGCTCTAGGATCTGGGCCTGCTCCTCCTCAGACAGAGACTCCCCTCCAGAGGTACCAGAGGCCAAGGATGATGACCTGGGGCAGAGCCAGCACAAAGTCGGAGGGGAGATGGAAGGGAGGCGGGGGTACTCATCTGGTCTGGTGCATGGAGGAACCCATGGTCAACATGGAGAGGCGCGCCCTCCAACACTCGTGTGGATGACTGTGCCTGCCCCTACTCAGAAGCTGCCAGTGACAACTCTGCCTGTCAGAGGAGAACACAACCTTCTTCTAGAGCCCCATGTACCCAGGGCTGTCCCCCAAACTTGATTTCTTTAACTTCTCCCCAACACACAGCCTAGCACACTGCTTGCTGCCCAGTAGAGGCCAAATGAGAGCTACTTGTAATTTAACATTTTCTAGTGACAACATTAAAATGGTAAAAGAAATGGATAAAATTAATATTAATGATACATTTCATTTAATCCAATACAGTTATTTCAACATGTAATCCATATAAAATTATTGAGTTATTTTATAGTCTTGTGTTAATTTTAAAAATCTGTTATTCACTTTGTACCCACGTTGCATGTCTATTCAGACATTAAATTACCATTGGACATGTTTGACCTGTATTTAGATTTCACAAAATTATAGCTGAAAAAGTAGAGTCACATATTCAAGTTACTTTAGACATATTTAAAAGTTTCCCAATAATTGAGAGCTTAATCCACTTTTTTTCCCTTGATACCAGGAATCAAACTCAGGGCCTTGCACTTGCCAGGCAGGTACTGTGCCACTGTGCTACATCCCTGGCCCTTCTCAATAACTGAATCAAGTGGCGAAATATCATTTAAAAAAAATTTGTATCCTTACTGACAAAGCTAACTGATCTTTTCGTAGAAAAAATATTTTGGATTCAAAGACAAATCCAATCAGTTTCAAAATTACATCTGTTAAAAAAAATCTGTTAAATTAAATAAATTCACTTACTCTTGTGCCAACTCAGTGATACTAACATCAAATTAAAATTATATTAAATTAAATTGGGAATTCACTCCCTTAGTGACACTGGCCACGTTTCAAGTGCTTGACAGCCACATGCGAGTCGTGGCCATCTTATCGGATAGCAAATCCATAGATAGCTTCCAGCAAAAAATCCCCAAGGCAGGGTCTTCCCTATCTCCCAGATATGTGCCTAATTCCCCCAAGATCCAAGTTATCGTGTGTGCTCTGCACAGTCTCACTGATAAAAACAATGATTCTCAGCTGAGCTAGACAGCAGCAGATGGGGCAGGGGGAAAGGGCAGAGAAGGTTATTCCAGGGCAGCCTTAGAAAACTTCATAAAAGGAAGAATCACTATGTAGGTGTCAGTGACAGCAAGTTTTGAAAACCAGTTTGAAGCAACCTCTGTGAGTTTTATCCTGTGATTAATCCCTGAAGAGCAGACAGGAAGTCTCAACATGCTCTTGTACGTTGGAAGGCGTGTAACACAGGGAATCATGTACTCACTTTAAGAGCTGTCATTTGGGCTTTGCCAAGGAGTTGGGGGTAGGCATTCAGCCTATTTGGATTCTACCTTCAAGCACTTACTGAAATGCTTGCCTTCTCTGTGGAGGAAGCCTGATGCCCCAGCCCCCTGCAGTGTAGCCCTCCAGCACATCCTGTTTTGTGTACTCACTGCTTTCTGCCTTGTCTTATCATCTTCCCTGCTAGACCATCAGCATCTGGGGAACCATGGCTGAGTCTTTATCATCCTTCTCTGCCCTGCCATGGTATTCAGCTCAAAGTGGCCCACATGAGTCCTGTCTGCATCCTTTACTTTGCACACCACTTAGGATGAACAAGGCACCCAGTGCACCCAATGCATTCAACTTCTAAGTTGTTAAGGCCACATGCATTCTTTAACCCCTTAGCCCAACCTGGCTGAGGATAGCTGGCATGGGTGACCCTGTTAGAGGATCTCCTTTCCCTCTCTGTGAAGGTAGAGAAGAACAGTGGAACATCTAACTAAGGGCATGAGCAAAGTCACCAAGTGAACTTCATGGGACTTGAGATCTTGTCCCACACGACTGCCACACACCTTTCCACTCAGAGCCTCCCTTGCTGATGGCTGCAGACAGTGAGTGGGGAGTGGCTATGCCATTCATAATGCCTGTGATCTCTAAGCTGGCTCTGCCTGGATGCCAAGAGTTGGGCAGTGGCAAAGATGGGGCAGATGAAAATAGCAGAAGAGCAGATGCTGCTTCTGACAGAGTAAGAAGGAGGGGAAAAAGAGAGGGAAAGTGCCCCAGAATCTGAGTCACTCCACACCTGGGCTTTTTCAGCTGCTTCCACTTCTCCTCCTTCCTCAGAAGCTCCTTGTCCTTCTTTGGGGGTGCTCTTTGCTCCTTGAAGGAAGCTCTCCCATCTCTCTTCCTCCTCGACCCTCCAGTCTTCATGGCTGGGCTCTGCTCCTGTCCTCTCAGCGCCTCACAGCGGGTCCTGCGTTCTGTCTGCTCCCTCCTGGGGGACCCAGGCCTTGGGCTGCCTCTGACCCACTCTTTTTGCTTCTGGCTGGGCTGGGCTCCACGCATGCCCACCAGACCTTCAACTTTGGGAGCCCGCTTTCTTGAGGGTCTCCTTCCTGACTTGTTGTTACCTGTGGGGGCAAGAAATGGATAGCACTGACCCCTCTGGCTTCAGCCCCAGGGAAGTGCCCTCAGCTGAGAAACTGAAGTCCAAGATGTCCCCTGGGGTTTTCAGGTTTGTCAGAGCTCAGAATATGACACTCAAAATGTGATACAGGAGGATCCAGAGCATTTTACAGGGGAGAAAATGAAGACAACTACAGAAGCTGAAAGTTACTCCCTGACCTTCTCCTTCCCTATTCCCCTGAATAAAGACATGTGATAAGTGCCCTACTCTATACTCAGAGGGAGACATATCACACAGACAGGCCAAGAAGAACCTGAACAGGTGGACCTTGCTAAGGACCTCTAGTCAATTGCCATTAGATCACACCCTCCTGTCCTACTTTGCCAAAAAAAAAAAAAAAAATTAAATAAAGAAAGAAAAAATAAAAGTTTTCCTTGGGTCTTTAGGTCCTCTCTTCTCCCCCCCCCCCTCCTCCTTCTGCTTCTTCTTTTTTTTTTTTTTTTTGGACCAAGGATCAAACTCAGGACCTTGCTCTTATGAAGCAGATGAAGTGCTGCTGAGCTAAATCCCCAGCCGGTCCTGACTTCTGAAAGCTCCCATATCACATGAAATCTATGTTCAATGATTCTGTATGCTTTTCTCTTGGTAATCTGTCTTTTGCTATCGAGGCCTTGGCCATGAGACTGTTGGGTGAGGAAAGAAATCTTCCCTACAGCAACAAAGGCCACCTACGTGGGAAGCCTCTGGACTAGGATGAGAATTATCCTCCTCCTTTGACCTGCTGACTCTTTCATGCTCTGGCCTTAACCTCAGATAGATGTCAATGACACCAAATATGCATAATACAAGGTTAATCTGCAAAAATTGATTGCTTTCCTATACCCAGCAATAAACAATTGGAAATTGAAATTAAAACCACCACACCATTTACATTGGTATCAAACAATGAAAACAAGTAGGTATAAATTTAACAAAATAGGAGATATAGGAGGAAAATCACAAAATTCTGTTGAAAGATATCAAAGATCTAAATGAATGAAACCAGGCATGGTGGCACATGCCTATAACCCCTGCACTCAACTCAGAAGGCTGAGGTGGGAGGATTAGTGAGTTTAAAGCCAGCCAGGACTAGATAATCAGTTCAAGGCCAGCCTGAACTACATAGTGAGAACTTGTGTCAAAAAATCCAGATGAATGGAGGCACAGTCTATGCTCACAGATAGGAAATATTAGTAAGATGTCAATTCTTCCCAACTTTATAGATTAATGCAAACCCAAGCAAAATCCCAGCAAGTTATTTTGTGTATGTTGGTAAGTGATTCTGAAGCTTATATGGAAAGACAAGAGACCCAGGAGATCAGACACATGCTGACAAGTATGTGGAACAAGAACTCCCATTCATTGCTAGTGTGAATGAAAATGGTACACCAACTTTGGAAGTCAGTATGAGAATTTCTTACCAAGATAAACAGAGGTTTACCATATAATTCAGCAACTGATTCTTATGTGTTTACCTCAAGGAGTTGAGAACTAGTGTCCACACAAAAAGCTGAACACAAACATACATGATTTCGTCCAATTGACAAAACTCAAAGGGAGCTAAGATATCCTAAAATAGGTGAATGCATACATGAAAAGTGCCTTCATTACACAGTGATAAAAATAAAAAGAACTTTCAAGTTATGAAAAGATGGGGCAGGTTGAAAGGGTTGGATGCCTATTCCTAAGTGAGAGTAGGCAGACTGAAAAGGTTACATATCATACAAATGCAATTAAACAGCATCCTGGAAGAGACAAAGCTTTAGAAATCATAAAATAATCAGTAGTTGCCAGGAGTTCAGTGGAAAGAGAAGGTTGAAGAGGTGAACCATATGGCATTTTGGGAACATACTATTCTGTATGATACTGTGATGGTCAGTATATGACATTATATACTTGTCAAAATCCATAGAATATGCAATAAAAGAGTGGACCTTAATGTAAACTCTGGATTTTGTTAAATAATATATTATATAATATGTAATCATATACCGTAATAATAATATTGGTTCATCAGTTGGGACAAATACACCATTCCAAAGTGAGATGCTAATAGGAGAAACGTTAGAGGAAGAGGAGAATAAAGGTCGTTTGTGGAAACTATTGGTTGCAAACTTTTTATGTAAACCTAAAACTGCTCTAAAAATTAAACCTGTTTTAAAAATATGAAATTATTAATCAGTGAGCCACCTAGAGAGAATGCTCAAGTTTTTTTTTAAATTAAAGGAGCTCATTTTATTGGCTTATAAAATAAAAATAAGTGCTCATATAATTTAAATATTCCAAAAATTTCCAAGAAATTAGATGAAAATTCGGCAAATAAATAATAAATGGCCAGGTATGGTGGCACACACCTGTAATCCCAGCACTCAGGAGGCTGAGGAAGAAGGATTGCAATGAGTTTGAGGCCAGCCTGGGCTACATATTTAGTTCAAGGACAGCCTGAATTACATAGCAAGACCCTATCTCAAAAAAAAAAAAAAAAAAAAAAAAAAGATTTAAAAAACTACGAGAATTAATAAAGCCAACTATCTTTGGTTTGGTTTATTTATCAGCATTGATTATAATTCAAGCTTACATTTTTAAGCTACATGGGTATGCTGTTTCTAGACTCACATAGATTCATTGATTAAATATGTAAATATTACTTCTATTTAATATTCAGGATTATGAAATACCTCAACTTGTGCTTGAATAAGTAAATTCATTAATCTGAGCATATTTCAACAATAATTATGTTTTATAATATGCAAGCTGGGATATTTCCAAGATCTTTATCCTAAATCCTGGGGCTGATATTAAATTTAGTTAATAGCTATTCATTGGATGCTGTATTAGTCAGCTTCGTGGAACTATAACAAAATACCTGAGATAATAAACTTAGAAAATATGTACCTTGTCTCATGGTTTTGCAAGTTCTTGCCCAAGACTGGATAGACCCATTGCTTAGTGCCTCTGATGGGAGTGCTGGATGGCAATAGTAGGGAGTGCACAGCAGGGCAAACCACTCACTTCACAAGCTAGGAAAGAGGAGTACAGGGAAGCTCCTGAGTCCATAACTCCCCTCAGCAGCATATTCCCAATGGTCCAAGGACTCCCACAAGACTCCGCCCCCTGAAGGTTCTACCACCTCCAAATAGCATCACCTGGGGACTGAGCTTTTCATGTACAGATCTTTGAGGGACACTCAATAAACAAACTGTTGCAGATGCCTAGATTATTTCTGAGAGAATTCTGAAACATTGATTACTAAGCATAATTTTAAACCATTTATGTACTTTCACTTCAATTTTTATATGCTACAGAGAAGTTACATCTTTTGAGTATGTTAATAAATGTTCTCATTTTTGAACGAGTGTGTTCATATAATTTTGAAAAGTTGCATATGTTTGTATAAAACCATACAATGTATAGTCATATGCTCTGCCAGTCTAAAATGCTAATATGTAATAGTTAACAATGATCTGTCTTGTGAAATGGGAGTTTATTCTGTAAATAGATATTCTTTTGGTTAAGAGTTATAATCAAATGAAACTACTATAATCAATCTTGATGAAGTACTTATGTGCAGAGTTAGGAACTGTGTTTTTGTTAAGGGAAAAAGAATATTTGTGTACTAAATTGAAACGATTGGGCTGTTCCAGAGCAGGGAAGATGCACATGAAGAACAAAATCTGAGGGGCCAGGGATTTACTCAGTGGTTCCGCTGCCTGCCTTGCAAGTGCAAGGACCCGAGTTCATTCTCCGGTACCAACCAACCAACAAACAAAAACAAAACCTGAAAGGAAAATAGGTTTCTCAGAAAAGGAATGGTGTACGTGTGTGTGTGTGTGTGTGTGTGTGTGTGTGGTACTGGGGATTGAATCCAGGGCTTTTGCAAGGAATGGTGTACGTGTGTGTGTGTGTGTGTGTGTGTGTGTGTGTGTGTGGTACTGGGGATTGAATCCAGGGCTTTTGCACTGAGCTACATCTCCAGCCCTTTTTATTTGAGACAGAATCTCACTAAATTGCTAAACTGATCAGGGTGGGCTGGAAATTACAACCTTGCCTTAGCTTCCCAGAATACTGAGATTACAGGCATGCACTACTATACCTGGGTCAGAAAGGGAATTTGGTTTTAGACTATAGACATGCAAATAATGAGCCTGAAAAGCTATAAAATATGTAAAAATCTTAGCAAAGTTTGTTGTTTCAATAGGTTTGTTCATATACACACACACACAGTTTTATTGTTCTTGATTTTACCTATAATAAAATATTTCTTCAAACATAATCTACCCATATAGCAAAGACTTTGTGTTTTCTCACAATAATTTTGTGTATTTTATGTTGGCTTTATTGTGACCTTGATTTTTTAATCAAATATCACTTATGAAAAAGCTAAGGATCTTTTAAGTAATCATGTTATCTTCTGTGCATGTTTTAAAATATTTGATTTCCATTTTCGGATGAGTAGCCAAATATAAATTCTGAGTTTAAATCTCATAAACAAGTTTTAGAGGTTGTTAGTTGGTTGGTTTGTTGGTTGGCTGCTTGGTTGATTTGATTCTAAGATTGACCCCTAAGTGTAAAATAAAGTTAAATGAATTACAGAATATCTTTTTGTGTAAAACTACCTTTGAAATTTTTCAGAGGGCCCCTGAAAAGTAATAGACTTGTTTTTTCACCTTATAGAGGGAGAAATACCAGAAAGAATTAGCGTCGTTTGATTGGTCACAGATAAAGAGTTTTATGGGGAAAAACTTTTTCTTCAAAAAGAAGAGGTGTTTGGCTTTTCTAGATTAAACTTCTTTAAGTAAAATGATTAAATGTTTCAGCAATTGTAGGAACAAGAAGTTCCTACAGATCTGATAATGCTGTCCCTGTTTATGGCGTGTTTCCACTTATCAGAGTCCTGGTGGGGATTTGCACAATGTTAGACAACACCATAATTATGTCATAATTCAGTTATCATTTGAAATGTTA